AAGGTGGTGTAAACGTAAACTCACTCACTCACACTCATTAGAAACAAGTCATGAGAAGTATATATGCATAATATGATGTACACAGGCAGAGATTACCAACAACAGGTAATTGATACCAAGTGGCACATAAATGGATAAGGCCAGATGAAGGGCTGTTAATGAGAGACGGGGATCTGATTATTCGGGCTAAGCAGCAAGAATCCATCGCGACCTTGTGTTTGAACTGCTCCTTTACTCTCATGCCGCGGTAACGTGATTTGTGCGGACCGGAGGCTGAGATTGTATCTTACTACGTGACTCTTGGTCTGACCAGTTAGGATCTGATCCATTTTGATAAATTTACTCAGTGGAGTGGGACAGCTGACGTATGCAATATTCAACAAATGAGGGACATATTTAAGCTTGAGTAACATCCATGCCATACCGTTTGGCAGTGAGACGAGTTAGATGCGAGCGTGCGTCACTGTGGTACTTAGTCTGTCATCAACACAAGGTCTAAAGTAATCTAATACAAGCATTAAATCCCGCCTAACGTTCTTCGATTAGTTATTGCTGAGATGTATCAGACGCTTTGTAAGCAATTGGAATACTTGTACGCCTATGGGATGCCGTATATACACGGGCTGCTTAAGCAATGTGTACCTCCGTTCACTCAAGGAAATATGATTTATAACTGCAATCCAATATCACTGCAATTTACATAACATATGAAGGAGTGCATGTTGTTGAAAGGCCTTAAGGTATAATTATCACCTCACCGGGTCTGATGACAGACAATGCCCAGTCATAGAGCGTAGGCAATTGTAAGTCATATAGTGGGCTTTTGTCGCGCCTCCCTTAACCCTTTCACCCACTCTACCCCATCTCTTGCGTGCAACATTTCTCGTGCCTCTTCGTATTCATGACATCATCTCCTCAATAATATGACCAGTCCGTAATTTTTCATTAATAATTGATAATTTGCAATAATTGGTTTATTCAATAAAGGGGCCACAGGCCCATTATACAGTTACATAAGTCATATCATGAAAGTGGAAATCTGGAGCGCCATAACACTGTACAAGGTCATTAAACGGTAACGGGGATGACGAATCCTTACCCAAAAGACGAGACATCAGCTTGGGGAGTGCTCTTGGGTCGGATATGCATGCCTCGATTTTACCGTTTAGACATGTTTAGCATGTGCAATGACGGTGGTAACCTGGTTCCTGGCAGCGCAATATAACTGCCTGTGGATTTCAAGGCGAGACCGTCTCCAAGGTCTCTCTGCTCTACGGCGATTAGCCTGGCAGCCATGACGTCCGCGGTCAGGGCCTAGATTTTCGAAGCTCTCTTAGCGCTAAGATAGTCGTAAGTTAATGTTAATGTATAGCACTTACGACTATCTTAGCGCTAAGAGAGCTTCGAAAATCTAGGCCCAGCCTGGGGCCCGTTTCACAAAGCTATCGTAGCGCTACGACTGTCATAAGTCTATGTTAAAGTATGGGAGTTACGATCATCTTAGCGCTACGATCGCTTTGTGGAACGGGACCCAGGATGACACAGGACGTTGAGGGGCTAGCTTCTCCTTCAGAGGGGCGTGTTTATCCAGCAGCTCCTGGAGGACAGTATTGTACAGATGTGACAGAGCATTTGGTTCCGTCGGCTGATCACAGAAGAGTTTGAGCTGAGACAAATCCGAAGTGAAAGTTAGGTGATCGATAGCTTTGATATTTCTGCAATTTATCTAAGTTTTAGGACACGGAGGGTTGTCAACATCCAGATGGAATGTCACTAGGAAGTGTTCCGAAATCTGCAGATCATTAACCCTTACACTGGTCAGACGCACATCCTTACCCACCACGACCCAGTAGTAAAAGTAGTATATCTAGACGTTTCTGTAACCCGTTGACAGTCATATCGAATAAAGCGATATCATCCGCAAAAAGCAAAATAAACAACTCTATGACATACACAATGCGATTTTAGAAAGTGGTCAAATGTAACATGTGTTATATTTGGGATTACACTTTCTTAGTAAACGGTCTGAAACAAAATAAGGCTATCCAAGATTCTATACCACCGACTCCTCCATAACCACAGGAACCCGTTTACAGGTTAAACATAGCCCATAGATCTACATGCACGTCATATATATAGAAAGAGTCTCTATTTATATATATGGCGTGTGTGTAGATCTATGGTGTATGTTTCGCCTATATAGTGATAACGGGTTCCTGTGTCCACTTTCCACAATAGCTGCATATTTTACGTATGCATCACACACCTTGTCACCGTGGTCAACAAGTGACAGAATGGTCGCACTGAGGAAACTCTTCTAGGGAGAAGGCGTGGTAATCGGAGTGTCAGTGCGTTATCTACTCGGGCCGAGGTCTGTTGTTTATTTGTTTGTTTGTTGTTGATCGCCACACTCAGCAATATTCCAGGCAGTGGCGGATCCAGGGGGTCCCCTTTGAAAATGACTTAAGACCACATTGACAAAATTTTTGGGCGTTGGCGGAGCCAAGGGGGGTTCAGGGGGTTTTAAGCACCCCACCCCCACACCCCTTTTCAAAATTCCTGGATCCGCCCATGCCAAGTATATGACGGCCGTAGCGCAGGACAGTGAACCTTACGATTGTCCATCCAAACGTGAAAACGGTGTTATTGTGTGATGCGTACGTAAAATAGTCATTACTAAACCACAGATGACACGTGTTGAGCTCACTGACCGGGTTGTGAGCGAGGCCAAGGGTGAGTGAAATTTGCTTTAACATGTTTAAAATGTACAGGGTAAGTGCACTTTTTTACTGACGAGCATAGGCGTACGTGCGTCTGCTGATCAGGACTAGTCTATGCCGGTTTTACAGTGTTAACACACTGAGATACCAGGTCGCAGCATATCATTCAGTTTGTAACCATGTGCACACTCAAACATATATACTAGCCTCGAGTCAACCAATTCTTGTTTTATCCCGTTAATACCGAACCCCAGACAGGGTAAAGAAAAGTACCAGTTTTTAACGTGTCTAAGTGTATAACACCAGTTGATCGCAGCACTGGTTTTCCGATCTCAAGGTGGGCGCTAGGTATCCACCCGACCACGCTGGCGGCCTGGCAGTGAATATTGGATGGCGAGAAATGGTGATGTCTTGTCGTTAGTGTCTGATTCAATTTGTGACCGTCTGTGCATGAACATGTAGCCGGGTGTGGTGTGTAATGTCCAGCCACTGGGCTGCTAGTCATTACAAGAACAGTTCTTCAGATGAAGGATGCAGTTTATTTGCAAAGTTGGGAGGAAGGCTGAAAAGATAGAACCTCCCTCCTATAAGAGTTCATGCAGAAATGTATAATTTAAGCCAAATAGTTTAAATGGCTGAAGCACATGGTTGAAGACCATGTGCTCAGTCAGAGTTACAAAATATACAGTAACTGGTAAATATTTAGATAAATGTATGAAATAATATTGTAATTAAATATGTTTTACAATTATGAAGTTGTGAGATACCCTTTAATGAATAGTATTTGTTTACAGAACAAAGTACAGAAAGCTAAGAATATTGAAATCTTTCTCACCTGAAAAGAGAGAACCTCCCTCCTGTAAGAGTTCATGCAGAATGCATGAGGAGGGCAGGTGAGAAAGGAAGTTCAGAGATGGGGACCAAAAGGCCAATCAGAATACAGGCAGCATCTGACAGGTGTCAAAGGAAGTCAGATGCTGGACAGTTACATTAGGTGGTGAAAGTGTCTAAAAATAGAGAAGGGGAAGTCCAGGTGAAGCTGGAGAACTCAGAGGCTGCTAAGGGTATTAGATGTTAGTGGGCTGACATTCAACTGCAGACAAGGACAACATACAATGCATACAGCATGACATGATGATGATGATGATGTGGATGACAATGTGTATATATAGATGTTTATAATAAGGCTGTGAGGGATTATGAGAGGGTGGTACTTAAGTGGTCATTACTCAGTCAGAGGTATAGCCACCACCCTGCTACAAATAGGACAAGTTCTTAAGTATGAGCGGTACAGGTACACACGTCTTCAAAGGTGTATCAGCTTTCTCTGGAATCCCATATATTATTTTCCAATGTATAAAAACATTATTAATTTACCGTTTTAACCGTGCACGTGTTGACGGCCGTATATGAGGCAACAATAAACGCTGTTCATTAACTTCCTACACAAGTTATATTGATTAATGGGTTCATTTTTTTCGTAATGGCTGTGTCTGGAAAGCATGCAGACATGCAGACAGGCAAGTGAATGTGCGCAAAAGCCACAAATTATACTGATAGAATTTTTTAAAGAAGGAAATGTGGTTCTGGCCTGCACGTACTGTACGTAGGGTACGTATGGATTTTATGATGTTTCCGAAGAATATATATCCAGATAATATTGAAAGCGGAAAAAGTTCAATCTCAATGCAAAACTTCTAATAAATACATTCTTGTAAATAATAGTTAAAACTGCTTGTTTCTACCCTGAGATAGCTTTGAGAGAAATGGGTTTTCAGTTCTTCATGTGAGTGTTATAAACTACGGTGCGTACTGCACCACAGGGGCGTGTCACGCTTTGAAACAGCGTTAGAAAGACATATAGGTAAAAAGACCCTACCCTATTACTATATAAAAGGTCCTTTTATATATTGGAGGTCCTTTTATACAGTACTAGGGTAGGGTCTATATACCTATATGTCTTTCTAACGCTGTTTCTAAGCGTGACACGCCCCTGTGTACTGCACAAGACACGGTCAACCTCTAATATCGTAGATTAGAACATTTGCTATTGTATACTTTTAATATTCGCCTTTAAATACAGTCTTGGCTGAGTATACAATGTCACTTATATGGCAACACAGAATCTGTGCACAAATGAAATTAAAAAAAAAAAACATGTGCATCGACCGGGAATCGAACCCGGGTCACCCGCGTGGCAGGCGAGTATTCTACCACTAGACCACCGATGCTTACAAACAAAAATGAAAATTATAGTGTACATATCAATGACTTCCTGTATGGTTGTCCTTCACTTCCGTTTTAGCCACGTTTCATTTTATTATTAACAACCGTCGAAGAAGAGAAGTAACGAAAAGGATTGCTAGCAAAACTGGGAAAAGCAAGGCGTGATGGAGCCGACAAGGACAGACGAAATCGTGGGGCTATGGAGCTACCTCCGCTCTGTAAGAACACGTGTGGGAGTCTCTGTTACAAGCCTGGATATCCATCTCACCGATGTGATGTATTGAGGCCCTCAGTTTTCGTTCACATCTTCTCGTACAACTCTTCTCATAAATCCAAATTTAAAAGGGTATCGTTTGAGCAACATGGACATACCTGTACGAATAACAACTCATGTCTTAATCAGCCAGATATCGCTTATGATCAGTACGAAATTCATTACAATGTTTGGGTCTCGCTAAATAGTCTGTCAACTGTTATTGTTAAAACAATAAGATTAAAGAGGTTTCTGATTCACAGAAATAATGACACTCACCATATACTTTTAAACTGTTATCTCGAACCTCCCCAAAAATGCAAAAATAATGTATTTTTTAGTCTTATATGAAACTATCCAAACATTCGTACCAGACCACTGGGCTAACGTTGTTTAGAACTTTTCTTCAATAAGATAAAGAAGAAGATATGGTATGTCTAGAAAGGCATATGCACAACTTATTGTTCAAATAATAAATTGTCAGGAAACTTTTAATGTCTTCAAGCATGACACAAAGTTAACCCATCTCAGGCTATCGGGTGAATATAGCTATTTCGGACACTGATACTTTATGATAAGATGTTCATTTGCTTCCCAAATATATGTGTATTGTTTCTTTTCACCGCCCTAATGGACTCCTTCGTAATGAATCTCCTCATGAATTCCCTCCCAGTAGCATATAATGAATCACCACTCCCTCAACTGCAGTAGGTGTTAGCAGTAGCAAGTACAAATGAATTATATTCAACTTTGTAGATAATTTGGTTTTAAAAGGGGCAGGCTGCCTTTCGTTACCAGAAGACGTCAAAGTTAGACCCACTTTCAGTCTCAGACTTTTACAATTGTGCATCTGATAGATGTAAACCCAGTGTAACCCCTGAACAAAATGCCAGCCGCACAAAACACTCAGTTGAGAGTCACGCTGAAAATATATGTTAGGTCAATGACACAATGTATACATATGTTCCTATTACAAGGGTTTGATAAGACAGGAAATGTGTAGTATAACTATACTGGAAATTCCCTGTTGAATATTTTCAGTTATAGAACCTTTTTGATGCTCTCTTGAATTGACAACATATATTTTATTTCTCATTCATGTTATTGACCATGTTTCAAGTAAGGATAATGACATTTGTGATCTCATGATGCTATGACTGTGTTGACTGAGTTTGTGTAATATGTTGAATGTCATTACTTAGTTTTTTGTCCTTGATTAAGCATGTTGAACAAGGTTTACATGTATTTGTATTTTGTCTCTACATTTGTTACAGGTGTTAAATTGGGATTACTCTCCCTTAGTATATTACAGATTCTAGTGTATTCTTGGGTTGCTGGGGCGGTGTGGTAGTCTAGTGGTTAAAGCGTTGGCTCGTTACGCCGAAGACCCGGGTTCGAATCCCCACATGGGTACAATGTGTGAAGCCCATTTCTGGTGTTCCCCGCCGTGATGTTGCTTGAATATTGCTAAAAGCGGCGTAAAACCAAAACTCAGTCAGACTCAGTCTTGGGTTGCTTCCCATTGCTTCGGATTCGAACCTACGCTCTCAGATTGAGGCACCTACTCACCAGCACGCAAAGTCAGTTATCTTACCCACCCAGCCACGATGGCTTTCACAAGTCTTAACTACTGAGAATCCAGGTCACGTTTTTATGTACCGCACTGACAAGTGTAATTGGCATGGCTGAAATGTATGAATACACAATGAATATTATATACAGATAACTTAGGTTCCAGAGTCCTTGTAGTCTTTGCTGGTATGAATGAGGGAACTGACATAAGTTAATGTATATCTTGAGGGTTTTGACAAGGACATCTCAACTTCTGTACTCAGTTTTAAACATTGATAAGTCTGAACAAGAGATATTACAGAAGTGGAATGTACAGGTTATACCACCTGGGGCTCCTTTCACAAAGCATCCTTTACTAAAGTTAACCTTAACTCCCATTCTTTTACATTGCACTAATGTTACCTTACTGACTTACGATCACATCAGTGCTTTTTCAAAGGAGGTCCAGATCTTGGTCTTCTCAAAGACCGTACCAGGGGTAGAAATAACTGTAAAATTGATAGTGTACTCCGGTACAGTGGCACATGTAAAGTCACTTGCCCTGATAATTTTTCCACTATACCGACCGTTTTCTTGCTGATTTTTTAAATAAACAACATAATTAACATTTGAAACTCAACTGGACACCGGTACAGTGTGATATACAAATTTGCTTGCCCGACAGAAAAAAACACTGGATTGGACGTCGGGCAATGGGTTATTTCCACCCCTGCGTACAATATCAGACTGCAAGGTGTAGGGATATGGCCTGTAGGTGGCAGGGTGGAGATTGTCATGACCTGGTGATGATATATATAGGTTGAGCATTTTGATGAAAGTGATGACCTCTGGAGGTTCAGGGTCAGAAAATATCCCCGGCACTTCATACTGACAAGGGAACAAGATGGATAGGCTCATTGTAAATGTAAAATAAAACATCAATCAAGTGTCATTGTGGCAAATTGATTTTATGTAAAGTAATGTCCAGTTGTAACGAACTCCAAAGGATCACTAATTCTAGTTTGTAATAACTGTAGATCATTATGTGTGTTTCAGCTGAAATATACACCACGGAGCTGGGACAAACAAAACATGTTCTTACATAGTTTACTGTGATATCTTTTGTGTCCAGTTGATTCAAAGATGTGTTTTAAAGAGGATTTAATGACTTCTCGCTGGTATTTCAGATTGACTGGTCCGAGCGTTGGCTGTGGTGTTTGGGAGGGTTCCACGTGGTGTGTGCCCTGATGACCTACCTGACCCGACAAGGGGGCCCTGTTCAAGCTGCATACTTTGTGGTTCTGTGTGAGTACAGTGTAATAGTAATAGTAATAGTCCGCTTATATGGCGCTCATATCCAGGCACATTGCCTGCTCACGGTGCTACGTACATGACTATCCCCGGTCGTAGGACACTATCATACTTTTGATACTTTTTCAACTACCTGGGGAGCATACAGCCATGCTGCCTGTTGGGCGCAATGAATTAAACACTCACGTTGCCAGCACATCCTCACCGGTACCCATTTTACAGCTGGGTGAACTGAGACAATGTGGATCTAAGTATCTTGTCCAAGGATACTATGCAAATGTGCCCACCTCGGGACCCGAACCTAGGTACCTCCACTGGGGTTCGAACCCAGGCTTTCAGCGTGATAGGCAGATGCCTTACCACTGCACTACAGTGCTCCAATGTAGGGCTGGGGCTGCTCCTGCAGATACACATACCACATTTATAGAGATTTTACTATTCCACTGTGTCAGGGAGGAGATTCTGAAAACAACATTAATTCTTCTCCATACTATATGATACTACTAGTTATACTACTACTAATAATGAATTTACATAGCGCATTAATCCATGCTCAGTGCATGCTCTAAGCACACATATGGGTGGGTATTGAGAGTCATTCTAGATAGGCAGTTTTAAATAAGTAGGTTTTTAGCTGAGATTGGAAGGAGGCAAGAGTTGAAGACTGTCTGTGATTGAGCAGGAGATTGTTCCATTCCTTTGCTGTATTGTAAGCAAAGGGACATTGCTGACCCGCAGTCTGAAATTAAACATGTACTTGTTGCAAATAGGGAAAGGTTTCACAAAAAGTTATCTCTTAAGTCCTCTTTTATAGCACATTCCATCAAAGGTATCAAGTACACAAGTACTTAGACAATACACTCACTGTATTTAAAAGTAGAACTATGTTACCTTTAGATTTATCCCTGCTAAATTAAATATGGAACCAAATATACAGAACAGCAAAAGAAACGCAAGTTTTGGAAAAACGAAATTTCATGAAGGTAAGCGTTCATGTTTATTGAACGTTCATGGTAAACTGACGTAATGATCCCAGATGAGATGATGTCATGCAATTTGACGTCCATACGTAACCATTCTCACAAACACACCAACAGTGCAGCAAAACCATAATTTTAGCATGTGCAGCAACGGTTCTGGATGGAAAGCATGCATTTCACTGATGAGGTATTCCTTATAAAGGTTTGTGTCAAAAACAGTTCAGTATTGATGCTAGGAGGTGTACATGCCACATCAAACGATACCTAGACTAATGGCTGAGCAGAGGGGAATGGCCATTGGAAAGTTGCACGGAGGTAGCTCTGCATCCCTGTAGCTAGACAACTGGGCTCTTCTTACCTCCATTACATGACTTGCTCAACTTCATCAGCAAACCGGGTTTGCTGCTGATCGTCCCCGTATCGGACGGCAACGAGTGACAACTCATACGCAAGATCGGTTCAGCCGGGTCACTTATCTAAGGAACCGATCTCAAGCAGCAACAGTAACAGCAGCCTTAGTTCTTGGGTCAAGGGGAGCAGTGTCCAGCGATACAATTAGGCATCGTCTTCGTGCTGCTGGAATCCACTGCCGAAGGCCATATGTGGGGACAATTTTGGCACGTCAACAACGCCAGCGACGTTTGCAGCCCTCACACAGCCAGGGTGTCGATGGATTATCTTGCTCAGAACAACATTAACATCTTTTAGACAGCCACTCACACTTGCACAATTGGAATAGAGATTGGTGTTTGAGCGGAACCAATTACCTCAGGCATTCTTTCAGACTCTACTAAACTCAATGAGGCCACGTTGCACGTCCTGTGTGCAAGCTCAAGGTGGCTATACACGCTACTAAAGAGACTGTCACTTTTCGTGTTCAGGGGTATCTCCATTTGACGGACTGTGATCAATTTGAACTTATTGCAATTCAATGTCAACAGCAACTTTCAGTTGTTAAATTGACAGTGTTTTCTATAGAATACATAATTAGACATGAGTTTGGTTGTCTTCTATTCAAAAACTTGACAAAAAGCTAAACTTGCGTTTCTTTTGCTGTTCAGTATGATTTTGCAGTTGTTAAAATATTTCAAGCCCATTCATTTCAAGATTTGCAGGATGGCATGAATGTTTGCCCCTAACAATGAGCCCATTTTAAGCCTACTAATGGAATAGTATAAATAAATTATTTTGATTGTTTGGTAACAATGTTGGTTTGAATTTCTGCATTCCTGACATTGATGAACATGATGTCAGTTGGGAGATAGTTATGAAGTTTTCTGATGATGACTTAGTCTTGTTAATGGCTCATCACCTTTGGAAATGAAATTTTTGGGCCCTGAATTAAAATCAGTTATGACAGAAAAGCCTGAAAGCATATAATTTATGTATTGACATTGGCAATACAACAGGTTATGGGTGAATGAATAATTGACAAGTAATTCCTTGGCATGCAATTTGCTAACCAAGCTATATTATTGGTGTAAGATCACGCCACATGGGACATGTTTGTCAAAATGAGTCTACGTGTCTAAAAATACATGACAAATTCCACATTAATAACATTAATGAAGAAACATATTCGTTGGCCATGAAAAATCCAGTCAAGTTTGTGTTATGTACATATAATGTCATAGCATATATCAGCCAATCAGATTGTAGCACATCCTCACATTTACTTTGCAAAACTACTTGATGACAACTGTTTAAGTAGTTACTTGTCCACACTTGTCAAGGTTTGATTTTCCAACATTTGGCAAATGTCTCGCCAGTGTGGCTTTCCTAAAAGATTGATATGAATGCATCATGATACATATGGATATGTGATACATACGGAAATACTGTTTATTGAGAGTAAAAGCCTGAATCCTTCGAAGACTCCAATTACCTGAGCATTAATATAATTATGCCTGTCTGGCACTGAGCTTTAATGAAATTAAAGAGGACTGGTTTGCTCAGAGTCAGCATATTGTGCCTGCACGCCTACACACCTAGTATGTGTAATAAACCTGCTAAAGTAATTTTCATTCCACCAGGGGCGATGGGGTAGCTAAAAGCTGTGTAAAAGCAAACTCACTCACTCGCTCAGTTCATTCCACCAAATTTATTTCATTTTGAAGTTGGTTCTCTGTGACTTGTGAGTCTGTAGAGTGTTTAAAACACTGATTTGTTAAAGATTGAGAAAACAAGGAGCCTAAAGACACCTTTTCAAAAAAACATTGAGGTCTGCTTTGAGAGATAGTTATTTAGGCCGGTACTGAAGAAAAACGAATTCCTTTCAGAAATTGTGCCTATCAAGTGCATCATCATTAAATAGAATGATTAAATACTAAATACACATAAGATTAATACCAGTGTAGGAAAGATGAAGAAAATCTAGCCTGTCCACAGGACTGGCAGGTCAAATGTTTTACCAGTCCGGCCAAAATCTAGCCTGTCCTCCAAATATAAATAAAACAGCTTCGGCAGTAAATATTCAAAAAGGTTATAATCATTATATATATGTCATTGGTTTGCTAAAATTGACCCAACATGAGGACGGACTAGATATTTTTTAACCCGTCCTCCACAAAATTCACCCGTCTCGGATGTTGGGACGGGCTATCTTTCCTACACTGTTAATACACTTTGAAAATACACCCAAAATTGTCACTGAAGTACAATGCATAGCAATGACAATATATGACAAACATATCACAAATAGGACTCACAAAATGTCTTTTTAAAACAATTGTAAAAAGGATACAAAGATGATGTTATGCAAGTTAAGTGTCATCCCTGGTCTACATTATCATGTATGACTGGAAGTATTGTAACCATGGTAACACATAAACCCTATCGGTAAGACAAATGAAACTGTTATCTCATGTAATTGTTTATATATTGTTTGTACCGGTACATGTACATTATCATTGTCCTTTTCAGTGATGTTGGTATACTTTGCTGAAAATCTGAATACAATTGCTGCTGAGAAGTGGAAGTAAGTGGAAATATTACTGTTATGATACAATGCATGTAATTATCGTGGAATACAAGTGTCCCTTGCTGCCATTAAATATTGAGCAACTGATATGTTTGGGTTAAGGTTTACTGTTGTTTCCAGACATACAGATCATAAGGGAAGACATAATGGTTACACAACACCAAATGTTTTCCCATAGACTTCTAAAGTAAACCTTATATTTTTTTTAAATTATCCAGGCTATCAACAGCCATCCCATGTACACATGGGTACAATCAGGCCTTTAAACTACAATACAACACAATTTCTGGCCAAATTGTCTGGCTCATTTTCTGAGCACAGGAAGCGGAACACATCAACCCCAGTTCCGCACCAAATGTCACCTATTTGAAAATATCTGTAGACACAATGAGCATAAGTCATGGTGATAAAAATGACAGCACTAAATACTTAAAATTGTGGTCAGTTTTAATTACTGCATGGATGTACTTTTAAAAAGCATAAACATCTTACACTAATTCATCCAATCACAGCTGTCACAAGTCTCTGTCTCTTCAGTGGCTTACATACGGTGCTCTCTCAGGGACCATGCGATTTTGATTTAGTGTAGTGGAACCTATAGGATTGTATGGTCAGGCTCATTTAGTATGTCATCAATACCCGAAGGAGAGGATCACTGTTGGATTGGTTAGTTCAGAGCCTGTTATACACAGGACACTGTCATGTACCTGATATATTACTGAGTGTGGTGTTAGAGGGCACCATTAAATGGGTTTTTTAATATTTCTGTAGAAATGTGATGTTTTGTTAGTAAAACTAAGTTTTATTAAGTGATATTTTGTGTACACATGTCCACAGTTTGGCATAATAACTACAATTAAAACATAAAACCCTGCCATCTTTCTCAGCTTAGGGTACATCATCTAAACACAGCATTCACACAGTTTGACATCCTCTAACCTGGACAAGGTACACCTTGTACAATATTAGGATCAAATGTTTAGTTTTGTATTATCTCCCTTTGATTAGGTCTCACATCTTGCTGAGAAAAATTCAGATTTTTCAAAGTTTCTCTTATTTGCTGACTACATATTCTAAATGTCTTCAGATTACTTGTGACTCTTGGTCATTGGTCCTTGAATTACAATACGACCCTCTTGTTCTGAACAAAAGGGATTCCCTTACCCAATCCTTCTGATACTAGATCCATGAATTTAAGTATCAGTATGAAGCTCTGCACATTGTTGGAGTTTGGATCTTTTAAATGATGACTATAACAATATTTAAACAATACATAGCATTGTGAGTTTATGGTTTCTGAAACAATGTGTTAGTAAATAAATACATTGTCACACATAAAGTAGCTTATTTATGATAATCCTTTTCAGTAATTGTTGCATACTGTGTCTAGATGTTTACAGCATCAGTAAAATTGTTCATTCTATATTTTCTTTGCAGACAGTTTTCAAAACAGCAATACTTTGACAGTGGTGGACTCTTCATATCTGTAGTGTACTCTGTCCCTCTGCTGATCAACTGTCTCGTTATTGTGGTAAGTGGGCTGATAATGTGTCTTGTCATTGTTGTAAGTGGGGCTGGTCAACTAGTTTGTGATGGTGGTAAGTTGGTTGATGAACTGTCTTGTCATTGTGGTAAGTGGGTTGATCAACTGACTTGTCATTGTGGTAAGTGGGGCTGGTCAACTGTCTTGTCATTGTGGTAAGTGGGGCTGGTCAACTGTCTTGTCATTGTGGTAAGTGGGCTGATAATGTGTCTTGTCATTGTTGTAAGTGGGGCTGGTCAACTAGCTTGTCATTGTGGTAATTGGGGCTGGTCAACTGTCTCGTTATTGTGGTAAGTGGGCTGATAATGTGTCTTGTCATTGTTGTAAGTGGGGCTGGTCAACTAGTTTGTGATGGTGGTAAGTTGGTTGATGAACTGTCTTGTCATTGTGGTATGTGGGTTGATAATGTGTCTTGTCATTGTGGTAAGTGGGGCTGGTCAACTGTCTTTTCATTGTGGTAAGTGGGGCTGGTCAACTGTCTTGTCATTGTGGTAAGTGGGCTGATAATGTGTCTTGTCATTGTTGTAAGTGGGGCTGGTCAACTAGCTTGTCATTGTGGTAATTGGGGCTGGTCAACTGTCTCGTTATTGTGGTAAGTGGGCTGATAATGTGTCTTGTCATTGTGGTATGTGGGTTGATAAACTGTCTTTTCATTGTGGTAAGTGGGGCTGGTCAACTGTCTTGTCATTGTGGTATGTGGGTTGATGAACTGTCTTGTCATTGTCTTGTCAATTTTCCGGACTCCACCAAAAAAGTTGTTTAAGAAACTATCATCATTGAAAACACAAAAGTTGTTATCTGTCGCGGCGGGTTGAAACCGCAGAAACGGAACAGCCAGTCATGGCAGGGGAAAACTCAAAATCTATTCCGGGAGACCTGTCGGTTCCTTGTCCGTCGTAGTGTCATAGTCACGACTTAAAGGGATGACAAGGGGTGCCACAGTTGCCTGTTGTAAGCCATCCCGAGACCAGTAACCTTGTTCAATGACGTTAGGTACCTTGATGACACAGTTTTGCCAAGTTTCAGTCATGATTTTGTTAAAGGTCACATGCAACGTAAAACACAACTTTGCAGATTCTGATACCTTTCGGTATGGACTTACCGAAACAAATCGTCAAAAATGCAAATTCAACTTATAAAGTTGAAAAATAACGCGATGAAAAAAAACACGTGAAATCGGAGTTCAAACGATTCACTAATTTTCCCCGACTTTCTCGGGGGAAAACTGAATTTCAACAGCTGGGCTGCAGCTCATAGCTTGCGTCAAGAGCAGTGAAATAGGTTTCTTGAGCTTGGAAGCGGGTTGTCTGGTGAATACTTCGGTGAAGGCTTTGGTGTGAGCTATTTTTCTAATGTTTTGTTGATATCTCACAGGTAGCGAGCTTTTTATATGTTATGACAGTAAATTAACTGTTTATATAATTTAATTTGTCTATTTCACCACACGTTCTTCTAACCGAGTCTCTTTCTCAGTTCAATACTTAAAAGCAATGTCATTATTTAGCGTTGACAGAATTTCTAACTGTGATATAGATATGTCGTTGTGTCACAGAAACTCAATGTCTTGTTTTATTGACACCTGTGTGTCTGCCTGCCTGTCTGCTAATGACAATATTCAATACACAGCTGCTATACTGACCACATGCAATTTGAACTTAACACCAATCAGGCTATACACCATAAACAAAATGCATTGATTTATGGGCCGAAGTTCGATCTCTGTCACATTATGTAATTACACAGACAGGCAGGTGTGATACTTGAACACATGACATGTTATGATGTCTGTTGATTGCAAAATGTTATACACAAAAATGAGCATGTATTTACAAAACCCAACATCTCTATATATACATACACAATGAGCCGTGAGGGCATCTGCAAATGAACCAGCCGTTACACTTGAGTGCACACCCACCCGCTCTGACTGGGTTCAGTATCCCGGCTGCTTTGTTTCTTGGGAAGTAAACCCAAGTACACAATATTGCACTTTTGATTTGCGATTGTACGCTTATAATTTTGTTTATATGTTTTTTCATAACCAGCAATGTATATTATATGTCATGAATAAGTGATAATTGTGTTTTAATTATGTTTGATTTTTTGGTTGCATGTGACCTTTAAGGGATTCCTTAACACATGGAATTTATTAATGGCATAAAATGGTTTGCCCCTTTCGGCTTCAGCACAGAAAAAATCGTACACTTTAATCATCAACTGTTTCACGTCAGCATTCAACTTCATTTTTCATCAGGCATGTGTATCCCGTGCACGACGAGAAAGTGGCTGTTCCGTTTCTGCGGTATCACCCCGCCGCGACAGATAACAACTTTTGCGTTTCAATGATGATAGTTTCTTAAACAACTTTTTTGGTGGAGTCCTGAAAATTTTCAAATATAAGACAGCTGTTGGGTATTAGTAAATGATAAACATGTGTACTATTTATATTTATGTGGCAACTTTGTACAATGATAAAATTTACAATTCATCGGTCCATTTCTGACTCAAACGGACTGTAGTCAACTGTCTTGTCATTGTGGTAAGTGGGGCTGATCAACTAGCTTGTGATGGTGGTAAGTGGGTTGATGAACTGTCTTGTCATTGTGGTAGGTTGGGATGGTCAACTAGCTTGTCATTGTGGTAAGTGGAGCTAGTCAACTGTCTTGTCATTGTGGTAAGTTGGGCTGGTCAACTAGTTTGTCATTGTGGTAAGTGGGGCTGGTCAACTGTCTTGTCATTGTGGTAAGTGGGGCTGGTCAACTAGCTTGTCATTGTGGTAAGTGGGGCTGGTCAACTGTCTTGTCATTGTGGTAAGTTGGGCTGGTCAACTGTCTTGTCATTGTGGTAAGTGGGGCTGGTCAACTGACTTGTCATTGTGGTAAGTTGGGCTGGTCAACTAGCTTGTCATTGTGGTAAGTTGGGCTGGTCAACTGTCTTGTCATTGTGTTAAGTGGGGCTGGTCAACTGTTGTCATTGTGGTAAGTTGGGCTGGTCAACTGTCTTGTCATTGTGGTAAGTGGAGCTGTTCAACTAGCTTGTACATTGTGGTAAGTGGGCAGGTCAACTGTCTTGTCATTGTGGTAAGTGGGGCTAGTCAACTGTCTTGTCATTGTGGTAAGTGGGGCTGGTCAACTGGCTTGTCATTGTGGTAAGTGGGCTGATCAACTGTCTTGTCATTGTGGTAAGTGGGCAGGTCAACTGGCTTGTCATTGTGGTAAATGGGGTTAGTCCACTTCCTTGTCATTGTGGTATGTGGGGCTAGTCAACTGTCTTGTCATTGTGGTAAGTGGGGTAGGTCAACTGGCTTGTCATTGTGGTAAGTGGGGCTTGTCAACTAGCTTGTCACTGTGGTAAGTGAGCAGGTCAACTGGCTTGTCATTGTGGTAAGTGGGGTTGGTCCACTTCCTTGTCATTGTGGTAAGTGGGGCTAGTCAACTAGCTTGTCATTGTAGTAAGTGGAGCTGTTCAACTAGCTTGTAAATTGTGGTAAGTGGGCTGGTCAACTGACTTGTCATTGTAGTACATAGAGTTGTTCATCTGTCTTATCGTAAGTGGGGGCTGATCAACTGGCTTGTCATTGTGGTTAGCGGCAGGTCAACTGACTTGTCATTGTGGTAAGCGGGCTGGTCAACTGTCTTGTTATAATGATGAATGTATAAGGAGATGGTTACTGTTGTAGATAATGTGGCTGCTGATGACAGGGACCATGATGGTGAAGATGAAGAAGATGAAACTGAAACAACAGGCCAGGAACAAACAGAAAGCAGAGGCAAAGAAGGAAGAGGAGAAGACTATAGAAGAGAAGAAAGATGACTAAGTGGAACCTGTGACCAGAGTCATTTACGTGACATCTGGGTGTTTCTTATTGGTGATATGCATGTCTCCTTCTGACCCTGCTTCATCATCCAATGGCATGAGACAGAGCAACAAGATTGGGGTCATGACTCACGGACACGAAGGTGGTCTGTGGAGGATTTATATGACATCCAGACATCTTCTGTGGACCTTGTAACCCTGACCTTGTGACTTAGTAACAAGGCTACATTACCCAATTGATCCTTTGACATGGGAAGAGATGCTGTGATGTGAGAGGGTGACTGCCTTTTTCTCACCTACACATGCGAGTTACCTGCTCATATCTTCAGTGGTGACATGTACAATGACATATACAGAACCTTCTCAGATTAAAGGAACAATACTTGTTGATCACTACACAGGTGGCACAGATCCATTGTGTAATGTGTATTTTGTACTCTGTGATGCAACACTGGACACTTGTTGTGAGGAGCATGATGGAGGGATAATATCCACATGCAGGGAGTTCATTGAGGGAATTATTGTATGTTTTTCAAAGACATTTCCTATTTAATGCCTGGTTGACTTATTGCATTGTGTTTGATACTGAGTGCAGCTTACTGCAATGATACTGAATTATGGAAATGTGTGTGGGTGTATGAGTTACTCTTATGAATATGTGAGAGGGAATGCAGACATTGCACAGATGTTGGGCGAGTGTGAGTGTATATGCGATATGTGGGTTGTACAGTGTTGGAGCTACTTATCAGAGTGGTGATTGTGTCCTTCCTGCAAGGGACCACCCTGATATCAGGCACCTGTATATTGTGTTGGGTATCACAGTTGTTTACATCAATAAATTATACAAGTTATTGTAGTTGTATATTACTTTTTTGCCAGTTCCAAGAATACTGTCTCTTCATTCGGTTTCAAAGCTGACTAAGATCATCATCAGGGTCAATTTCCCTTCTACCTGCCTGTGTCAGGACGTGGCAGTGTGAGAATAACAACTATATAGAGTGTGCAGTTGCATATGTAGCTCAACATTTCAACCTGACTGTTTTTTTGTTGTTAAGTGTTTTGGTTGGTTGGGTTGGGGTGTTTGATTTAGCTCTAATCTGTTCTTACTTAACAGACAGACAGACTGACAGACGGGTTTATTTAATAAATGTGGCCATGAGGCCTTTAGTACAAAATGAGGATTTGGATTAAAGTTTTACAGAGCGCATGGACATGATTTTGTTTACAAAAATTGCTTGACGGAGTATGAGGTGAGGTGAGGTGAAATTGGGTTTAACGTCGTGCTTGAGAATATTTCGCCCATATGACGACGTGCATGCGCGTGTATGGGTGGCTGCTTGTACTAGCCCAGACCTAAGCTGGTTCTATAGTGCTAGCCCACTGAGATACCTTGCCGCAGTGAAGCATGAATACCCCACTCCGACACATTATACTGACTCCTAGCCGACCAGTCCTTGTTGTACCCATTAATGCCGAGCGCCAGTCAGGGACCAACAAGTACCATATTTTAACGTCTTTTGGTATGACGCGGTCGGGGATCGAATCCGCGACCTTCCGCTCTCCGGGCGGACACTCTAACCACTACACCATGGAGGCGGTCTGACGGAGTATGATATTATGGTTCCTAGTATTTTAGAAGATGTACAAATGTTGGTTTTTGGGGTTCATAATATAGTTATTCAGTTTGTAGTGGGTCCTTACCGCTGCATATAAAGGACAGTTCCTTAACACATGATGCTCATCTTTTGGTACACTTTTACAATGATCACACATAGCTACACTAATGTCATTGTCTTTAGATCTTCTATACGAAACTATTTTCAGATTGGTGGAGCCGCATCAAAATTTTGTTAAACCTCTGCGCAGATGTAACGTAGAGAGTGCATTCAAGTACAATTGTTGGGTGTACGATAACCAACGTTACAAAATTTTAAGTGACGTGCTTTTTCTATTCCATGGCAGATAACCGTTCCCCAAATTTCTGCTCCATATGATAATATCGGTTGGATTTTACAATCAAAGATTTTGAAAAATATATCGAACAGAATTGTCATATATCTGTACATGAATTTATTAATAGGAAATAAGGCTCTCTGTGCTTGCTTACTCAAAACATCACAAGCTTTTGTGAATGCATTTCTACAAGATAACGTTAATCCCAAATACTTATAATAGGAGACAGTTTTTATATTCTCTGTTCCAATGGACCATTTTTCTCTTTTAAAAACACTATTTTGTCTTACTTTGTAAAGTTGAAATCCCACTATAACAATCTTTCTCTGTAGGTTCTGACGTTATCCGCAAACAGAAGAATTGACAGTCCATTTATAGTTCATCAATAAAAGCGCCACTATACTGTTTATGATGTCGTTAACTAGTTCATCAATGTACGTAATAAATCTGGAGATAAGATTCAACAACTCCAGTGATTGTTAAAGACGTTACATCTAACAGCTGCTTTTGCATGAGTACTCATTGAACGTAAAGCTAATATTACCATGTAGGCCATTATTGAGAAGTATATATAATGCACGTGCATTCCGGGAAAGAGAAACAGAGCAAATGAATGCCACACCATACTGTCACTTTGGAAAGCTCAACCCCTGCCCTTGCGATCGTTCAAAAAATTAAACGGCTATTGAAACGCATAGCATGCCAAGGCTCACGTCTGCACAACGTCATGAGGCCATTGGGATGGTCCGTTGGGGAATGTCTCAACGACAAGTGGCTGCACATTTCCACTGCCACCGGAACACCATTTCTACACTGGTGAGACGCTACAAGAACACAAATGACGTCATCGATCGGCCACGTTCTTGACGTCCACGTGTAACAACGCCAAGACAGGACATATGGATAAGGGTGACCCATCTTCGCCACAGGTTTCAGACTGCAGTGATGACTGCCCGAACCATCACAGGACTTCGCTGTATCCACCCCAACACAGTTCGACAACGTTTACGTCATCACGGGATCAGACCACGACCTTCCGCCATACGGCCTATCCTGACACAACGTCATCGACAAGCTTGCCGAATGTGGTGCCGAAATCATGTCTGCAGACCCTTGTTTTGGTGGAGAAATGTTGTTTTTACAGATGAGTCCAGGTTTAACATTTCCCATAGTGATGGACGTCAACGTGTCTATAGACGCGTGGGAGAACGTTATGCACAGGCCTGTGTCTTGGAGAGGAATCGCTTTGGTGGTGGTTCCGTGATGATTTGGGGTGGAATAACAGCACGCCAAAGAACTCCTTTGGTGATTGTTCAGGGCCACTTAACTGGTGTGGGCTACAGGGATCAGATTCTTCGACCTGTGGCAATTCCTTTTCTGCAACGTTGTGGCCCTGGGTTAACATTCCATCAGGACAATGCCCGCCCTCATACGGCAAGGGTTGCTATGGATTTCTTACAACACCACAACGGCGACTTACTGCCTTGGCCTGCAAATGCACCGGATCTCTCCCCGATAGAGTATGTTTGGGACGAGATGGATAGACGTTTACGCCGTCTTCCTCATCCGCCAGAAAACGTCCTTGACCTTGCAACATAACTTGAGAGAATCTGGTGTGACATCCCACAAGCCTTCCTTGCACGTTTGATAGGCTCCATGCGTCGTCGATGCACTGCTGTTCTCAATGCCGATGGTGGACATACCCGTTATTGAGCTTGTGACATGGTCGTTTGACCCCTGTCCCGCTTGTGGACTCGTGACGTCATTGTGATTGACTTTTCAATTGAAATTCTCCCGACTTGTTATGGTCTCATGATCCCCCATGAAAGTTTATATGTACCTTTGACATTGTTATCGTACTTATCAACTGGGATAATATTTTGACAATGCACAGTTTCGTTATGTGGCTAGTATATAAATGGCTGACATATATGGATGTTTGTAATACAATTCTTTATACTTGTATGAATAGCCCTATACTAAGAGCCACTTAGTTGCGTATGAGCGATCATCACCGTCTCTGTGGTGTAGTGGTTAGAGCTTAAAGTCAGTGATCTGTCCCTGACAAAAAGATGATATTCACCTGACCAGTGTACACGATCTCAAGGTGCACAAATGAATCATCTTGCTAACAGTTATGAAAGTCATGGTCACAATAAAGTCACCCACAGACTAACGCTTAGTCCCTGAATATATGTTACTTTGATAGTAACAAATAAACCCATTTAATTTGAAAAGGAGCCCCAGCGAGTTAGGAGATTCAGGAACCCGAACCTGGGAAATCTAGACTTGCTTCATTTAGGGCTTTATCATTGCAGGGAGGGCTAGGCGGTAGAGAAAATAATGTGGCTCAGGGACTGTGAGACAGACCAAGTCACTCATTACAGCATAAAATAGATCCATAAAGTGCTTGCTTATTCATGAACGCCGCACTCAACCCTATGACCGTTGTTTACAAATAATGGGGTCAGGTCAGACATTCCTTGATACACATCACCCAACTCAGTTGCTGCTATTACAAAGAATATGTTGGTTTTCTCGCCCATGTAAATACCGACATCTATAAAGGAGCCCCAGTAAGATGGGGATTCACCTTACGAACAAACATACCGATATCTATAACACTGCATGTGGAAAAAAAAGCCATTGTTCGTTTTTGTAATGCGACCCGCCTTTTCCATTAATATTATGAAGGCTCTCTGTGGGTAATAACTGAGCCATAACTGCGTGGTGTCACAGCTGTGCATAATATCCAGACCGTGAACAAAAATATGACCTTAATACCCATGCACCGTTTATCTGAAGATATCTTTTTCATGAACCAGAATAGCCAGAAATAATATAGCGCAAGTAACTCTGTTACGAAAAAGGTACAGTCTTGCAATTTGAACCTCTCCTAACAGCGACAAATGATGATGATCAGTTTAAGGATGCGGCGTACCCTGGCTGTAGCTGTGATAGTAAGTATATTATATCAGTATTTTATTGATGTGGTCAGCCGGATGAACGATGGATGCAGTACAAACACCCGTTCGTCATAAAACTATGTGCTATGACTCAATATCCAATTTGTTTCCTAATCACTGTTCATCATAGATTTTATTGTAAAACTTGAAAGGTCGTTTTTATTTTGCTTTAAATTTAACTTAAGTGTTAGAATACACCTTTCTTACCTGTCACCATGTGTGTATAGGTTCTGTAGAAAAGACCATCTAACGCGAACCCCCTAACGTTTGTGTGTATTGAAAAGCGTCTGTATTTTGTTCTGCATGGTCGTATACTGAATATACGCGTTCGTGGTCTAGTGAAGAAAACGTCCACACGGACAGCAGAACAGCAGTGGTTCAAGCGCCTAGCGGCGTTATACTTAACCGTGATAATTATGCAGCGTTTGTGATCAGCACGGTTTACAAGATGGCGTGCAACTCTGACCTCAATCAGAACAATGGGGAAGCATTTGAGATGGGTAGCAAACATTACAGTTCCGTTGGTACTATTTCACTTACATCGATTAGGTTTGAGTTATATTGTGAAAGAGGACACCATCGTTAAGACCTGTGGGTAACCATTCCTTTCAAGATTCCGTTGCTGACTCTTCCGGCGTCGTCAACGAGTACCACAACGTCAGATTCTACGACTGAGGCATCGCTGATGCAGCCCCTAGACATTTCCCGTGCGGAGACTGTAGCCTTGCCCGAGGATACCAGTGAAGTGACGGACCTTGGTGCTGTCACCTGCTTCCATAGATCTGCAAGTTCTGCAGTGGACATCAGGTGTCCGACGTGATCCATCTTGTCTGTTAATCCTAGCTTCGCTGGATTTACATTGTTGAAGATGCTTGGGAATCTTGGTAAATTTATGTTTCCTTTTATTCTTCAGGGTCGTAGGTAACCCGGGGGGGTAAGGGGGCAGTTGCCCCCCCCCCCAACCCCAACCCCCTAGAATAATTTTACAGATCATTTTGTGTACATCAAAGTCTTGATATAACACACTTTTGAGTGTCATATACCCTCAGCACAATGACGCAAAGATTGCGGGCAGCCCATCTGACAGATGATCGGTACCAGAATGATACACCTATTTACATATGATTACAACAACCATTAATAAATAAAATAAGGAATCCAGGGCAATGACATAGACTACCCGGAACCCTATAAACTGAAGGCATGTCGTGCAATACCTAATGATAATTAACAAACAAAAGACTTAATTATAAAAAAGCATTGCATTCAATCTACATGACTCCATAATATTGAACAAACCTGAAGATATTATGTATATGATGTACATTTCACATGCAATTTCTGGACTGTCAACTGAATTAATATTACAACTATATTGTATATTAATACTTAAAGTGAACAAAACAGTTGTTTTGCATATATACAGATATATCCAAACACATTTCTAAAGTTCAGTTTATAACATTATGTACAGATGTTACAATTTTGAACAACGAAACTTTTTAAAAACATGAAAAAATTGGTCAAACGTAGCATAAAACAATAATATTTTATACAAAATTGGAGATTACACAAATGGAGTCATTTTACCTTCAGAAAGCAGGAAATTGCATCTGAGAGCATCTAATTAAAACATCCAGGGAGAGCATGCACCGGGATCCCTTAGATCATCGGCCTCGAACGTGGATAGTGGATAGATATTTTGTAGTGGAAGTTGGTATATTTTGAGGTAGGTGCTGGAAGGCTTTATGGTAGAAACAATGCTTTTCTATTTCCATTTTGCTGTAGCAGCTGTGTTCCACGTTTGTATAGTACCGGCAGTTCTATTTTGAAAACAGCAATAACTAGTTCCTTGATTGTAAAAGGAATACAAATGAGCTTTCGTGTCAGAAAGATAAGTAATGCCACTTCGATAACATCACAGTGATATGTAAAGCATCTGAAAGCCAATTTTATGATTGATGATCGGACATGAATGAGAGCTTTTCACTGAATCGGACCTTATCTTCTAAAAAAGCTTTTAAATTTTGGCCAAGGGATAGACTAGTGGTTAAAGCAGTCCCGGGTTCTATTACCCAAATGGGTACATTGTGGTGTCCCCCGCTGGATATTAAAGCAATACAACTAAAAAACACGTAAAAACGTATTCACTCACTCGCTCGCTTTCAGATTTTCACTTGTACTACGTGCCCAGTATTGCTGCCCTCAGCTACGCCACAACGCCGTGGTACAAGGTCACGGTGACCTGCAGTGGTCAGAATCAGATCACAGGGACAAGGACTATAAAAGTAGCCATTCATGTAGCAGGTATGTAATTCTTCCAACTTGTCTTTAACATATCGCGATATCAACGAAAACTAAATGCTTATTTTATGACAGTGTTACTTTAATTGTTATTAATCTCCTGTCCTATTTTGGCACTGATTAATTTCATGGTTGATAGATCATAAATTGTATATGATTTTTATAGACGTATTGTAAGTATCTTTTTATTATATCATACACTGCTATCAAGAAGAAACGTCCACACCTGTTGCGTGACAATTGCACTGTAAGCCAGTAAACAGAACGATGATGACTTCAATATGCATTGGGGCGGTGTGGAAGCCTAATGGTTAAAGCGTTGGCTCGTCACGCCGAAGACCCGGGTTCGAATCCCCACATGGGCACAATGTGTGAAGCCCATTTCTGGTGTCCCCCGCCTTGATGTTGCTGGAATATTGCTAAAAGTGGCGTAAAACCAAACTCTGTCAGTCAGTCAGTCAGTCAATATGCTTTACACTCATATATAAATCTATCCCATGCTACTTGTTTCAGAAACCGTTATGATGCCAACGACACTGCAGCCCGAACTACCATAAACCATATATATTCAAATTCACACTTTTATTTCCTTTTTAAATTTACTTACGCATTACATCAAAGCTATTACTACCAATTCGCAGATGTATTTACCAAACACATAAGCTATAGCTGTTCATTATAGCCTTGGTTTAGTGATCATATGTTTATTATGTCTTGGATAGGTCAGAAAATCGATGAAGTAAGCCCCGGTTTGTAGCTCTAAGGCCATACTGTGCATGTACATGTAAAAGCTTGAAACGCCCTGGTTACTTTTTAAGAACATATAACGTTACTATGGAAGTCTAAGGGAAAACATTTGTGCAACCTTGAAGCGATGTGCCTACGGTTTGAGCTTGTTGACTTCAGCTCGCAAGAGCCAAGGTACGTGCAACATCAGTGTAACCTGATGTTTGTAAGGATGTGTTTAAGTTTGTTGCTAGGTTGCCTATAATTGTTTCATCTTTAGGGTACAGAAATATCCACAAAGTGTGAATTTAATGAACATATCAACGAGGGCTTCTCGCTCTTGCCTATCAATAATCACAAAAACACGTTTCGCTGACCATCAAAATATTATCATAATCCCAGCTTCCTCTAATTACTTCATACTTATGATGGGCGGTGGGGTAGCCTAATGGTTAAAGTGTCCGCCTGTCAAGCCGCAGCCCCGGGTTCGATTCCCCACATGAATAACGTACAATGTGTGAAGTCCATTTCTGGTGTCCCCCGTCGTGATATTGCTGGAACTTTGCTCAAAGCGGCGTAAAACCATACTCACTCATAATTACGAGGACATATTTAGAATAATTAGTATTTTTACAAATTAAAATCAAAATGTATTCCCAAAGATAATGTTCGTGACATACAGTTCATATATTTAATGTATCTGGTATCAGCTCTCTCGATGTAGTATTACATAATCAATTAACTGCTATCCTTATCTTACACAGCGCATGAATGTCGGCTGCAAGAATATTGTGTGATGTAACAACTCTTGTGTAATCCGTTCGAATTGCCGAACTGCTGACAATGTATTTGTAACATGCCTTCGCTTGTGAATAAATCAAAACTGCTGATATTTTCCATACTCAACACCCACCCGTTTTGTAATCTCCATTTATAGAATTCACTAGGGACAGATGATATCATTCTTACTGGCATCGTAGAACATAAAGTTGTAAATATTCAGTTATTTGATATCAATAGAACATCGATTGTTACAGAGTAGTCTGAATTTGAACTATTGTGATCTTGGCAACGTGAGATTTGTCAACCCTGAAAATGACATCGTGTCTAGAATCTCCCTTCTGCCCTCCACATACAGCAGTTACTTCCCATGACAAACAAAGGTCAAGGCTAACATTAAGCGGAAATGACGACATCGATGACACCACACCGCCAACCACAGTGACCCTTGTACTTCTTGGGGAAGACTTTGCTGGTGGCTCGGCAACATACACGGTGGTCGTGACAGTGTTAGACAACAACGACAACACCGACACAGAGCGTCGGCAATTACATCTACACTGTGTTTAGTAGTGTACAGTAGTACATACATAATGGAATCCACAAAATAATGACACAATGATTCACTGATTACAATAATGAAATTCGTGTTGTGTGATTTTTTTGTGTATTCTTAACATATCGGGAAGCCTCTTGATAATTTGTTTACATGCATACCCCGGTTAACATAACTGGAACCACTGTGTACATACAATGAGGCTACAAGCTTTATGTTAGCAGCAATACAAGTAGAGTAACCACAACAGCTCACTACCTTAACCAGGGTAACCAAATCCACTTCAAATAACTACCCTATTTTCACCAACTACTTGTTTTTTCGTAATGAATTATGTATGCTGCCCCTTTCATTTGTCCCTTGACTGGCTGAATGCCCACTAAGACTAGCCTTAAATATCAACACAAGTATATACATACGGTTTGTCCTGGCTTCAATCGATCCGTATGCAAAGTACCAAGGATGTGAATTTATCCAAACGAGGGGGACGAGCTGGCCAGTCATCTAAAGGCCGGTCCAGAGTTATGTTCCTTGTTTGTGCCAGGACTTTGGAGGATGCTTCTGGTCATCACCATACTCACTGGCTCCAAGAAACAGATTTCCTTCTGTATCAGACAGATACTCATATATAGGTAGCCAGCATTTTGTCGGTGTTGTGGGGCGGTTGGGTTGTCTAATGATTAAAGACCCACGCCGAAGACCTGGGTTCGATTCACCAAAAGGGTACAATGTGTCAAACCCATTTCTGGTGTCCCCCGCCGTGATGTTGTTGGAATATTGCTCAAAGCGGCGTAAATCCAAACTCAGTCAGTCAGTCAGAGCGTCGACAACTACATCTACACTGTGTTTAGTAGTGTTCAGTAGTACATACATAATGGAATCCACAAAATGATGGCACAATGATGAATTGATTACAATAATGAAATTCGTGTTGTGTTATTATTTTGTGGATTTCCTTATGTATCAGACAGATACTGTTACTCATATATAGGTAGCCAGCATTTTGTCGGTGTTGTGGGGCGGTTGGGTAGTCTAATGATTAAAGACCCACGCCGAAGACCTGGGTTCGATTCACCAAAAGGGTACAATGTGTCAAACCCATTTCTGGTGTCCCCCGACCTGATGTTGCGGGAATATTGTAAATGCTGCTTAAAACTGAAAACTCACTCACTCACTCATTCGGTGTTCTATGTGAGCTATGGTGCCTATAAAGGTTGCAATTTAGACACCTTTAGTCTATCTTAGTTATTTCATTGGGGCCTCGTCGAATACGAATCTACACGTTATGGGTATCCATTTACAGGCATTACCATTCCCATTCGCGCAACCTATACTACGACAGCAACTGCAAACGTTACAACATTGACGGGCATGGAGGAACATTCTCCACAAATATTCCTTCCTGCATAATGCCATTGTTTACGTTTAAACTAGCAGTAGTTATAGTTGTAGGAGTAGCAGCAACACCAGTAGGTGGTAGCAGTAGTAGTTGTAATAATAGTAGCTGTTGTTGTTGTTGTGGTAGTAGTAGATGAAATAGTTATAGTAGTGACAGTAGCAACATCAACATTTGTCGTAGTAGTTATAGTTGTAAGAGTAGCAGCAGCAACAGTAGTAGTAGTAGCGTTAGCAGAGGTAATAGTAGTAATTGTATTAGTAGCAGCGGCAGAAGTAGTAGTAACAATAGCAACAGTGGCAGTAGTAGTAGTAGTAGTAGTAGTAGTAGTAGTAGTAGTAGTAGTAGTAGTAGTAGTAGTAGTAGTAGTAGTAGTTGTTGTTGTTGTTGTTGTTGTAACAGCAGCAGTGGTAGCAGTAGTCGTAGTAATAGTGGTTTGTCTGTGGGTTAGCCTAACACTCAGCAAAATCCCGGTCTGTGAATAATCCAAAAGAATGGTGCCATGAAGCAGATGTGACTTATGTGACGCAATGCACTACATACGACAAACTATTTACATTTGAAATGGCATTACAGATACGATCTCAGGTGACAATCGCGGCAGAAAGCTACACTCATTTCACTTCGCTTTTACTAAACAAAAAGCTGCAACACATGTTTATACCATTATTGCTTTGGCATTATATAGAAAAGATTATATTGTTCCAAGATTGGCTGTCGTTCGTTAACTAACAGCTGACTATTTAAAGCACGGATCATAACAAATGACTTGGGACTCAAATATGATCATAACTGTTACACGATGTCCTTCTAACAACAGCTAGGTTCACAAATGAAATGCCCGACCTGACAGCTGGCCTGTTGTAATCTCTGGCATTAAAGCGAGTTATTTGGTAAGCCGTTCAAGCAGAAAATTAAAACTTACCTCCGTCATTAGTTCCACTTAACTAAGGACACATAATGTGTAGTTTCAACTAACCCACATGTTCCGAACCACAATCCTAACATTCTGTTAATTGCAAGGTAGCTCTTTTTCCCCCTCGAGGAGGTTAGTGAACAACTGCCTGAATATTATAATTGAATACACGCAATTACTGTTGATATATCGTACATTGCAAGTTTGAACAGGGTATTGTGAACTTTCATTAATAAAATGATCTTAAGAAATCATGTCTGAAGAATATTTCAAAATAAGAATATAATTTAATTCGGCTGTAAATATTTATTTCATGAACGATCACATAAGTAAACCTTTGTGTCATATTACACAACAACAGGGATCGAAAACCAATGTAAACAGCAAATACCATATAGCATTGTTGATAGCAACAGGCTGCTTTCATAAACATTATTTATACCTGTCATCACACTGCGTGTGAAAGAAACTCTATTTGTTAGCTTCGGAGTGACGCATGGGGACTCTCAGTGTAAACACGTTGATAAAAACCTTGTCACTGTACATTCAAATACTTTTACAAATCCCAACAGTCGTAAATATGTGTGTTTGTATAGCTCCGTAAGAGGGAATTGACATGATTTGTCTGTATGCCTTGTCCACTCAAGCGTGCGTTGGTGACACAAAAGCGTTAATCATTTAAAGAGATCGTAGGATATATTGCACATTAACCACATATAGTAGTATAGGCAATAACATATGTCGCAGAAGGAACTTCAGCTTACATGTACTGACAACACGGTGGGGTATACTGGGACGGTTTGTCCGTGTTATACAATGACGGCTTAGTACGACCACCGAGTGCATCTGGCAAGTGGGCATATCCATACGCATGAGAAGAAACGTCAATTGACGTTGACGTCATTTTGAAAATTACATATAATACGACCTGATTAATCATCGAACAATTGAAGAAATACTTGATTTAAACTTGCAATAAAATATATATGACCCGTGAAGATCTGGGTTAGAATTGGTCTTCAGCAATCCATGTGATGGCTGATATACAGACAAACTTTATGGATAAACAACTTCGGTAGATGCGACGTTTCGATACAGATTCTTGTATCGTTGTCAAGCAAGTATGAGTAAGGTAGATAACAGGTGACTATATATGCAGTAAATAATTAACTAAAACAACAAGGACGTGAATTGGGATGTACAGTAACAATATGATGACAAGGGATTATATGTAGAAGCCAATAGGGGTTTACGGGTGTTGTACAAGTAATACAACCAATTATGGTTGGTTGAATTATTGCTGAGTGCGGCAAAATGAAGTATATGGTAGGAATATCAAGATACATTTGATATAAAGGAGAAAAAGAAAGTTTATACCGAAAATAATGCAAAAGGAGAACATATACATGATGGATTACAAATGGATTTATACAGATGAGGGGGTTGATTTGCAGTGTGAGTACATCGCTGATAGTTGTGATTAAGGATGATATGAAGACAGATGGACAACGTGAGAAAAGGGTCACTGTTGACTGACCTTGGTTAGATGGTGGTATACACTAAATTATCTTCCATATATATGTTCTCCTTGTGCATAACGTTGTGAATCATTTACTTGATAACGGTGTTCACCGAAACGTTGCACGTATTACAATGAAGAAGTCAATCCACACAACTTGTTCTTCCTTATCACATCAACTTAAAGTGATAAAAAGTAAGTATCAAGCCGTAAAGTTATAGTAATGATGATACTTGTTAATGATAGTAAAGTTAGAAACTATAGTTATAAAATAATTTATGTTAGTTCAGTAAAATATGATAGTAACGCCCATTATGATAGTATGTTATTAGAGTAGGATTAAAATGGAAGCGCCATGTTTATTGTATCTATAGTTGTCAGGAATGTATAGTATGCCAGATATGCTGAATACCATTCAGTTGGTCGTTGAACTTAAGTATTCACTCAGTGATCGTGTATAAGAAATTAACGATAATCATGTCCAGATTTTCCCATTTTGCAATTTCGATACAGCCCAAGGAATTATCTAATGTACTAATCATGCAGCCTGACGTGCGGAATCCGTGAAAGCAAACGTATTGAACACTAAGTGTGTCCTGAAAGTGAGAAACTCTATGGTTGGACGTCTCGGCCTATAAAGTGATCATTCTATTGACGCTTGCAATGAAGTGAAATCTCCCGCTGATCATTTGTCCCGACTTAAATGGCTTACAATAAAACGTATTGAAAGCGACAAAGGAGCGTTTTGTTGTACACAGAGTGCCGCCATATACATTCACTCCCTCTGCTAGGTAGTCAGGAGTCAACGGCCAATATGGCTGCAACGCAGGAGGTTAATGTCCGGGGAATGCGTATCCTCTTCGTGTCCCTGTTGTCCATCATAAGCCTCAACAATGTGGTATGTACCCTGAGATTACTTATATAACAGTACTCCACAATCAGCATAAACGTTATAAATTATGTGGTCTTTTAACCATAACTGGAAGAATATCTGAATGGATACAATAAGTAGGAGTGAAGATTCTGGATTGTTCCAAAAATAATTTTGCCCTCTACTCGTGTTAAATGTCACATCTTTTGAGTTTAAAAGTGTTTTGTGGGATTAGTTAAACGATGTACTGTTTCGGCCAAAGACGTCTGTTGTATATGTTTTGTTAAACATATGTGTCACTCTCTGATCTGCTTCTTGATCTCATTCTTTGGCTAAGTTCTTTAATTACCTCTAAGTGTGTTCTGTAGGTGCGCATTATTTGTAGAGTGTGTAGGTGTTCAGTATTCTGTGTCAACGTTCGAACATCAGGTCACGACATCAAACTGTACCCATGTCCCAATTGGAACCAGAGACTTGGACGTGGCGAGCCAATTTGGTTTTAAAACCCCACAAAACACACTTCTTTAAGTGTCATTTTAGAAGCTGGTATGATGAAGAGGAACACACGTTATGGATGGCCAACTTTATTGCAATAGATGCTTGATAACGGTGTTAGGATCTACACCGAAACGTCGCATCTTTGGAATGAAGAAGTTGTCTATCCATAAAATGTGTTCCTTTTCCACAAAACATGGTCTGTGAATCCTGGTGAAGTTGGCTCTCCAGTGATAGACATTCGTATCGCCATTGTGTGAAATAACTGTTTCTGTATAGAACTTTATATGGGTATTAATAGGAAGCAGTATATAATAAGGTGACAAATATGTTAATTTGTCAGATTCAGTGCCTTTATGTGATGGAGTCATGATTGGCTTAGCCATGCAAGTCTTGGAACTCGTGACAATATGATCATTGGTCTTGAATACAGCCGGGTTTTCCGATTTTAGGTTCTTCAGCTCATGGGTTTCATTACTGAGTAAGACTGGCTAAACTGATCGATAATCGGAAATGTTGTAGATTGGAACAATTATTAACGATTATCGACATTAAATTAGTGTCATCGATAATATCGGACCAACACTTTTGTGATAGAATAAAGTTTCATTTACACACACACACACACACAATACACATAGATAGGTTTTTAATCACGGGCTACTTCTAAATTATGTTCAGGCCACTGTCACCGCTCACCAGTTGTGGGAATTATATCATTTCTTTCAGACAGCTTTGGCATTTTTGTTCAAAGTTACTTCTCCAGTATTTATCGATAACGGAGCGACATTTAGTTAACGATTATCGATCGCTATGATCTATATCGATAGCCAGCCCTATCAATCTTCCCTATCACTTTAGACACCCTCCTCTCAAACTTGCGGGGTGGTGGGCTAGCCTAGGGGTTAAAGAGTTCGCTCGTCGCGCCTCAGACCCGGTTCGATTCCCCACATGGTTTACAATTTATGAGGCCCATTTCTGGTGTCTCCCGCCGTGATATTGCTGGAATATTGCTTAAAGCGGCGTGAAACCACACTCACTCACTCTCAAACTGACACACACCTACTCCTCCACTGTTGTGTTGTGATGAAATGTTAACGTTTTCAGGCGGCCATGCCTATGCCTCTTATTGAGCCCTTCCAAACAGTCAACCTTCACGAAGATAATGTTGCACAGACCACACTGGCATTGATCAATTGTACCGATATGCAAAACGCAAACGGCAACGAATGTGGCACCTGCAACCTCGTCGATATCACCAACGACGGGAACTTATTCTTCACCGGAAATCTTGTCAACAACAACTTATTCAACAATGGACCCTTTGATGTGTTCAGAATAAGTAATACTTTTCTGACCAATTCAAACAGTAAGTTGACCCACGGAACATTTACAAATAAAGTATGTATGTATGTATGTATGTATGTATGTATGTATGTATGTATGTATGTATGTATGTATGTATGTATGTATGTATGTATGTATGTATGTATGTATGTATGTATGTATGTATGTATGTATGTATGTATGTATGTATGTGTGCATGTGTATGTATGTATGTATGTATGTATGTATGTATGTATGTATGTATGTATGTATGTATGTATGTATGAATGTCTGTGTGCATGTATCTATGCATGCATGCATATATGTATGAGTGTATGTATGTATGTATGTATGTATGAATGTCTGTGTGCATGTATCTATGCATGCATGCATATATGCATGCATGTATATATGTATGTATGTATGTATGTGTATGTATGTATAGCATGTATGTATGTATGTATCTATGTATGCATGCATGTATCTATGTATGAATGTCTGTGTGCATGTATCTATGTATTTATGTATCTATGTATGCATGCATGTATCTATGCATGAATGTCTGTGTGCATGTATCTATGCATGCATGCATATATGTATGAGTGTATGTATGCATGCATGTATGTATGCAACTATGTATCTGCGTTTGTGTGTCTGTGTGTGCGTGTGTGTGTGTCTCTCTCTTTCTCTCTGTGTATAAACAAAATTCATATTACTTCAGTTAATCAGTCATCTTAGTAAATGTTCGAATGTTATTTTCGCTCCTCTGCATAGCATACACTTCCTTAGCAGCATTATCGCTTTTATGTAGCCTGGGGTACCATGGTTATCCCTGTCAAATACTGAAACATAGTAGGAAAAAACATTAGTCAGCGATGTCTCGAATTCCTCACCAATCGACATGTGGTTTCTATTGGCGGATGGTGGGGTTGCCTCGTGGTGTTCGGTAGCCACGTCAAAGACCGGGTTCGATTCCTCACATGGGTGAAATGTGTGAAGCCCATTTCCTGTGTCTCCAGGCGTGATATTGCTGGCATATTGCTAAAAGTGGCTTAAAACGAAACGCACTCACTCACTCATTATGATAGTGCAACTGTATTGTACTAGTGGCCCCTTGAATATGTTACCTCTTCAACAGGGTTCTTCATCGTGTTCGTCCCAAACCAAGGACAAAACCTTGACTACAGCATCATCAGGACGTACAGAATCGAGGTGCAGTGTCTCGCCACTGACGGCATCACTGTGAGTCCAAGCCAGATTCTGGAAGTTGACATCATTCCCAACCAGGCTCCTATCGTGGCCGGCCTTCCTGGAGGTACCTGCTTCATCAGTTTTGTACTTCATCTTGTCAAGATGGGATGGTCTTGAAACAAACATCATCATTTTACCCCTCGCTATTTATTGTCGAGATGATGTTATAATTTATTTAACCACAGTATGATCCTCTTTGACAAGAAGGTTCTTTCTCTACGACATCAGCGTAATTCCCATCCACGTTTTTGTCGCGGCAGGTAACCTCTTACTGTGTACATGTATATTATGCGTTCACTTCTCTTTATTTTAACTTTCGCCCTCTTTAAGACACTGGGTTGACCTGATACGTATCTGCTTACTTGTTAAATATGAACTCTTCTTATCTCCAAAACACTTCAAGTTCAGTTTATCCATCCGTAATATTTTATGTGTTTCTTTACTCCACCATAAATCAACGGGAGTGTGCAAGGATCACGGTATTATGTTCATCACATCAAAGCATAATTTCCATAGCGGCTGGAAAAATGAGATGGAAAATATTTTGATTTTTCTTTTTTTTCTTTTTGTTCACACGTCATGACGAACCCAGTTACCGTGCTATAAGTAGTCATATAGTCTGGTCCACGTCTCAAACCTCCATTCTATTGACGCGTACATCTCTATTCCATGACTTTATTCACCTACTACGCCAGAGGTAGACTAAACTATCTAACCGTTTTTATAACGCATCTTCCACATTTTAAGAACTATGATGAGGTGAAGGTACTATCTTTTGTTCCCATAGGCTACGCCGCCATATGTTATGGAGTTTATAGTCTGTCTACCATGTTATTTATTACCATTTTATTGAAAAAGGTTAACCCTCTGAATCGGTATAACTATTGGTTGCTTTCACATCATCTCATAAGTAACCGCATGGTACCTTGCACATGCGTCTTCTCGTTTATTGAACATCAGCATTCCATGGTTGTCGTAAGAGGGGTTAAACAGTATCTAGTGGTCAGCGGCCGGGTGGGGGTAGGGAAGAGGTTGCCATTTCTGGTGCCCCCCCCCCCCTTCGCCGGAATATTGTTAAGAGCGGCGTAAAACCGTACTCACTCACTCATTGTATTCAAATTGCGTAGATCGATGTGCATCAAATCAATTACAAGATTGTCTGGTCCAGATTATTTCCAGACCGCCGTCATGTAGATTGGGTATTGCTGTGTGCGGCGGTAAAACATCATGCAAACAAATGAATAATACATGTGTGTCATTGTATATTCCGCTTTATAGCTAAAATACATGGAATTATCATGAAGCGGCCTTCCCATTATCAGATATTTGCGGGCCGCTGCAAATGATATTGGACCGCTCAACCTTAACGACGGGACACTATCAGTTCTGTTGTGAAGTGACGTCATAGTGGGTGCATGGGCTTACGGTTCATTCGACATTGGCTTTGGACTGGCAGATATTCTGGGTGAAACAAGTCAAAACAACCCGAATTCCCTCTTTAAATAGCGGTCATATTGGCTTTCTTGCTGGTGCTAACCTCAACAATTGCACTATTAACGTTGTTGTTGGACCAAAACCCGAACACTGACATAGCTTGACATGTTGCAAGCTATGGTCTTGTCAAAGGTCAAGGTCGAATATCGTCACTTTCTGTTGTCAAGTCACTTGAATTGTTCGATGCCGTAATTGCATTCGGGCAGTCAACCCCGTCAGAAGTTGGTTTTGAGTAAACTTACAGTCTAATTCCTTCATTGTTTCCTTTTTCTTTTCAACACAAATTCCATGTATTTTAGCAATAATAACGGTAATGCTATTTTCGAGGGCATTATCATTTGCAGAAGCCCTCGGTCTTTAATGGAAGACCTCGGGCTTCTGCAAATGATAATGCCCTAAAAAATAGCCTTACCGTTATAGTAGCAAACTAACGGAATGTGTCTGGTCATCACTATACATTCAATGACTAATATATTGACCTACATTTTAGTGACGGTGACCCTGGACGCTAGGAATGGTCCAGTGGGCAGTTTGGTATTTGATGTTCAAGTGAGCGACAACGAGACCGATCCCATTTCATATGTGCTGACCGTCGAGCCATCCACAATCGACCTCTTCCAGATCAGTCAACGTAAGTACAATCATTTACGGCTTCAATTGACACAGTGGATCTAAGAAAATACGATCATCACTATTTTATAATATTGAAATGTTAGTGTATGAAACACCACGGGCCAATACACATGGAGCGCATATAATAGAGTGCAAGATTATTATAAATTGCAAATGTATGTTTCAATTCAGTAGATTTCAGCTATGAAGGCTTATTTGAAATACATCATAACAGCTTTGAATAGTTTGGTTGCCATAAGACGAACAAATCTTTATACGGGAGGTGTCTCCCAAACACAACCTGCGGGAATTGTCCAGAAGCAAACCTACGAATTTTCACATGTGCAGTTCATGCAAGTGCCACATGTCGGTATTTAATCTGCGTGGGTTACAATTTTCAATAATTTTTCTGCCACACAACTGTATATTTACGTTTCACAACGACCATAAAAAAAATGATGTCAGAGGAAATACAACTCTGTTAGGGTAGTAGGGTACCCTAGGGTACCTATATTCTTCAGCAATATATAATTTATCACTCGAATATTTAGAGAAATTTCCAACTCGAACATTGAAGTTCTACACTTTTTATGAAGGAAGGATTGTTCGTATAGTTCGGCAATAGATATAAAACGTTGTGATATATGGTGATTTGTTAAACAATTATCATACAATATCTTCAAACATAAAGACTAACTTCAGGGAGACGATTTACGGAATACAGGTGTCTACAAGGTCCCTAGTACCGTCGTGTACTTGGCGTCAGGATCAGATATTATACTAACATGCTGATTGTACTATTTGAACGTGGCTGATCTGTTGTTGATCTGAGCTGATTCACCGCCTCCGTGGTGTAGTGGTTAGAGCGTCCGCCCGGAGAGCGGAAGCTCGCAGGTTCGATCCCCGGTCGCGCCATACCAAAATACGTTAAAGTATGGTACTTGTTTGTCTCTGCCTGGTGCTTATAATTATGGGTACAACAAGGACTGGTCCGCTCAGAGTCAGAATAATGTGTCTGAGGGGGTATTCATGCTTAACTGCGGCATGGTATCTCAGTGAGCTAGCACTATAAAACCAGCTTACGTCTGGGCTAGTACAAGCAGCCACCCATACACACACATGCACGTCGTCATATGGGCGAAATATTCTCAAGTACGACGTTAAACCCCATTTCACCTCACCTCACCTCCACCCTCAGCTATATTTCACAGGGTCCTGTAACACAGCTAAATGTGTTCCTGTATTCGGCTTATTCCACACCAGACAAGTAAACGTACTACTGTAAACCTACAGGCTGTTCCTAACATTCATTTAAGCTGCACTTTCGAGTATACGTCGGTACCAGGAACGTTTATCATGGTGACCACCGTGAAGTCGCAAGTCTACGGTTGGGAATTGTTATGACATCTCAAACTGTAGTAGTATTAGTGGTGATACTCGCTAGGGCAATAAACACCAATATATCTCTGATACACCGTATTGGGGCTAGCCCAATAGTTACCGGTACATCGTTTTCAGGTTACGCCGCGGACCCAAATTCAATAGAGAACTAAACTCACTCACTTCAATTATTGTCTGTAGAGGATGGAATAATATCTGTCATCAAAGACCTGAGAACGGCAACCGTCACGCCAGTGACATTAAGAGTCAACGTCAGTGACGGCAACCACGTCGTCGGGCCCCTCACCATCACTGTCAATTTTATCAGTAAGTATAGTGTTTTACTCATTTAGAAGCTTATGATACAGAACTTATGAAATATATGCACATTGAGAATGTTCGTTTGTTAGGTTGGGAAAGCCACGACATTAGCAATGCAGAGCGATGTAAAGGATGACATGCAAATATTTGTTGGTTTGTGAACTAAAAGTTTCCCTATCTTTTAGAGACCTATAAGCTCATATATATATTATAGTATGACCTTATAAGCTCACACAAATTTGCCTTTTAAACGCATTCCAACTCATTCCAGTGCTAACATCTCTCTTAAGGTCATTCAACAACTCTCTTAAGGTCACTCAACACAGCGGTTTAGTCATTATAATGTCCAAGGTGGACAAACACTTCTCATCCTGAAACATGCTGCTTGCGACACAACTGTCCTCACCTATACACCCCCTCGAGATAAGATGTGCGAGGACGATGGACCAGCTGTTGTCTGACAGCCACATATAGGATTAAGATTAAAATGATCTAAATTTGTCAAGGGCCCGGTAAGATAATTGCTGGCCTATTGTCCTTTAGGAATAGCAACTGCAGAGTGTGCAAAACCATGTTCTATGAGCGTTGTAGGGTCGGTTCTTTACTCACTGATCTTGGACTACATGGATACCAATGTTTACAGCAATGCTATATATTTCCCACCAGACATGAACAGTCGTCCTACAGTGCAGAACCTCCCTCTCAACGTCACCCTCAACGAAGACGCTCCGGCAGGGACATTGATTGCGACACTGACCATATCTGATCCAGACATCTTCCAGACAATAGCCCCTGTCTTCAACGTCAATCCTATTTCAGAGGCATCCAAGTTCATATTCAATACCGGAAGTGAGTCATGCTAATGTAGAATATAGATAAAACAATGTTTAGCTGTAATATTTAACGTGTTCCTTTGACATTGAGTTTTTAGTTGATTGTTGTGTGAACTGGTGGACAAAAGAAGAATATGTTAATATTCGATGGTGGATACATATGTAACAAAGGAGATTGTTATTCAATGATTATGAGTAGGCGATGTCACCTGTATCAAAACAACCCGATGATGTTGTATTTGATCTCACAGGCGACCTCACCTGCATCAAATTAATCGGTATCACAAGTGATGTCTCGATGAGAAACATTGGTCTCAGTTTCACTGTACACAGTAATAAAGTGTGGATGTTGAAGTGTATACTTTCTATTGTCCGTCAGTTTAGATTTTGCTTCACTTCACCAGTAGACATATATTTTGTATACATGAATTATCTCATTTGTATGGTCATATTTAAAATTATTTGTACCTTACATATAACTATGTTAGATAAGAACACGATGCCACTTTACAATAAGATCAGACATGTGCTACATCGATCAGCAATTCACATTTTGTATCGTTTTCGGTGTCGATAACAAGTGTATCTTCATCATGAACTGTCAGTCTCATGCGAGTATGGCGCAGTTAAAAATAAAACCCCAATGCAAAAAATCGGATTTCGAAACAATGATGATGAAATTTAGACAATCAAAATGAATCTCATTGCAACAAATTTCGAAGCGGTGGACGAGCGCGCAACCTTTAACATCACTGAACCCACATCATATATGAATAGATAAACATTTTTGTAATTGGATATATATCATATATCACCTGAAGAAGGGACAAGAAGTAGCCCAGAAACGTCATGTTATACAATAAAGAAGACGTTGTCATCCATATACTCGCCTCTCAAGAATTTTTGTAATTTTCAATATTTTAGCTAATCAAGTCCGGTTGAACACAGTTGCTACCGGTGCAACTCTCCTGGACGCCGAGTCTGTCAATAGTGTCAACCTGTCTTTCTCCCTCTTCGACGGCTTCCTCCCCTCCGTCAACGCATTCATCTCTCTCACTATCGCCAGTGTCAATGAACCGCCGTTCTTCAGCAAACCTGTTCATTTCTGCACGCTGCTGGAAGGCAATGTAGGTACCTCAATTGTAAGGCAATGAGTGAGTGAGTGGGTGAGTCAGTTTAGTTTTATGCCGCTTTTAGCAATATTGCAGCGGGGGACACCAGAAATGGGCTTCACACATTGTACCCATGTAGAAATTTGAACGCAGGTCTTCGGCCTGACGAGCGAACGTTTTAACCACTATGCTACCCAACTGGCCCAAGTCAATGTAGAGATACTTCAGCTACTCAGGTAAACCAATGCCTAACCGGTTCATGGTGAGAAAGTCCGTGTGGATTTTGACATTATGCATGTCTATTCAGCTTTTAATTCTTGTTTTTCATTGTTTTGTTTTTTTTCTATTTGAAAGGTGTTGTATAACCTCTCAGCAAGCCGTCCCTACTCTCTATCTTGACTTAGAAATAAGATAACCGGAACAATATATCATTCTATCCTTATCACTTAACTCGTCGAACAATAGCAACTTACATACGATAGAAAACAACAGCTTGCATGGAATTAATTGCAGTCCATGTATAGTCCAATCAAAGTAGAAACGAAAATAAAATATATTTACAGCTATTTCTGCAGAAATCCGAATATGCACAAAAGGAACCAGCTTTTTCACTCTAACAAACTAGGAACAATTAGGAAATTAGCATTATTTTGCAAAATAATGTCTCATTTTAAGCAACGAACCAACAAAAGATAACCAATAACGCACGAGTGTAACATTGTTTATTTAACTGGTTTAAATGTATGTACGGACAGTTTATTCTTGCAACCAAGCGATATGTATTTATGACCACATCGTGTTTCATACTTGTATTTATGTTGCACATTATGATGTAAAGTTGTACCTCTGATGCCGAAGATCGCGGCCGCAGTGTAAATAAACTTCAGTTCAAGTTCAGTTCCGGTTCATTAGCAACATGGCGGCTGCCCTTCAGATTTTAGGCGATTGCATGATTTGCAGAGCATGAGAACCGCCAGCTGAGCGTCAACACATGATTTCATGTGCTTCGGCTGGTAGTACAGCCAGGTGTTCGAGTTGCACGTGTGAAATTAAAATTTCACAACACACGCCTGTTGGTTACCTGGCTGTTTTACTAGCCAGTTCTACTATCAAAATAATAGTACCCCATCACTGTTGATCTTCAGTAACCAATGCCTGTCGTAAGAGGCGACTAACGGGATCGGGTAGTCGGGCTCGCTTACTTGGTTGACACATGTCATCGGTTCCCAATTGCGCAGATCGATGCTCATGCTGTTGATCACTGGATTGTCTGGTCCAGACTCAATTATTTACAGCCCGCCGCCATATAGCTGAACTATTACTGAGTGCGGCGTAAAACTAAACTCACCCACTCACTCACTCATAACACACTATGTATGTTTTCTTCTCATCACTTGGTTGAGTCACCTTTACCTTGATAACGGTGCAAGATTCTGCACCGAAACATTCCTCTATGCAATAAACAAGAAGTTGGCACCAATAAAATTGTATGCTTCATTATCTACACCAACAGTTTAACATATTTTGATAATAGTGTTTCATCGTTTCAGCAATTTGGCTCAACGTGTGCTCTCGGTCTGACCATAAGAGATCCAGAAGGGGACATAATTCTGTCCCCGTTCCTGAATCCCGCAAACAACAGCAATCTCTTTTCCCTGGAGAATGACAACCTCAGAATAAATAACAACTATGTAGTCGACGGTGGTGCCTTCCCCGCATCAACAACGTTGACGATAGAGGTAGCGGACGACCAGGGAGCGACAGGATCCGCTCTCATTCAGGTGAATGTTTTAGACCAGAACACCCAGACACCAGACTTTGGGGGCAGTGCCACGTCTGTCGTGATTACTCAGAACGTGCTGACGCCGCCCACGACGCTGGCAACGCTCACCGCTACCGACGCCGACCTAACCTCTCCCAACAATGACGTCACCTTACGCCTCCAAAGTAGCGTCAATTTGGGAAGCAACGTTATATTCACTAATGACGGTCGGATAACATATTTGAACCGCTTCCCCGCTAACAAAGACTGCTCTGATTGTAGACTGGAAATTATAGCGTTTGATGGAGGAACTCCAGCCCGTACCGCAACGACAACATACTACGTGAGCTTCGTCACCACCACTACCACTCCTGCTACAACGACCACCACTACAACGACCACGACAACCACAACCACCACGGCAGCTGCTGTAGTTTCTTCATCTGACGCATTTTCTACTCCTGCTGGAGCGGCAGTCTTGGGTATACTGATCGCCCTCCTGATCCTTCTGTTGTTGCTGGTGTTGGGTTACTTCCTGTACAGGTACTGTACGTACGGTACATGTTGCGGCCCAACCGGACCCAATGGAGCCGGTGCGATAGGTGGAGGAGGAGGTGGAGGCGGAGGAATGTGTGGAAACTGCTGTGGCGGACCACAGTGAGTTAAACTAATAGTCATATTTATCTTCCCACATCTTTTGTCATTTTCGATTATCTAATGAATGACATCTCTGTTGCACAGGCCCCATTCGCTCCCATAAGTTTCATTCTTTAACAATCGTTCCTGTTTTCTTGAACATCTTTAAAATGCATCTTACACTCTTTGTATTTGTTTATTTGCTATGCTGTGATTCACGTCAATCTGATGTCAAACCAGCAATAACATTTGGCTAATCTATCTTGTTAAAGGGGTTCAAGCAACTAAATAATTTTGGCATGTTTTCCAACAGGGATCAACCGAATCAGGTCCGACCCAGGCCGGAAGGTCCAGATTACGGCCAGTGAGTAGGAACTACATTCTATATCATACAACTGTTTTTATACATATTAACAGCAGCATACCAAGTTAAGAAATGACAGCGAAAATACACTTCCTATCAAACTCAAAACAAACCTTAACGGAAAAGTTATGTCGAATCCGTGATTCATTTTAACCTTACGACATTCGTGGAAGATATGCCTAAGTGATCGTCACAAGCAAACACCTGTATTCATTCTGTTAATGTCAACAATTTTTAAACGTAATTTTCCTAAAACTTCAAAAAAGCATTTGCCGTTGTGATTTAAACTCGGGAAATAAATGATACGTAATACACGATAGTCTGAAAATTTGTACAATAAAATCATGAACATTTATTTACCGGTGTTAGTAAATAACTGGTGTTAGTTTTGTAATTAATTCATCGTTCCTTGCACTCCCTAGACTACGGACTCCTCCCCCTCAGGACGGGTTCCGGAACAACACCTACAAGGCCTCGGGCGACTACAAGGATGACTTCTGGAATAACAGTATGCAGATTTCTCGGTCTAGTGGCTTTCGTCTCTTCCTCGTCATTTAAGACTCCAAATTTCCCTAGATCCCAGCTGCTTTAGAATAGGTTCCGACCTGTGCTGAACTCCAGAGGCGATCAAATGGATCGGATGGACCTCCTTGAACCCGACGGCGAGGATTGCCATTAGTATCAATCACTGTATTGACTGGTCAGCTCGACTATGTACAGCACCCAACCCCTTTGTAAACCCTCAACGACTGTTTTCTAAAAACAAAAATTTTACTGCTTCGTTTAAAAATATGGAAGTTTTACAAAATAAGTAACAAGAGAACCAGCCTCTTCGTCTAATGATCTGTGTGAGCTAAACATTATTCTAATTACATGCAGATTTTATGTCAGTTACTTGAAGGGTAAAAATGACATATCAAAACCAAAAAGTAAAATATCGTTTGACATAGTTGGTAAAAGTATGTACGTTGCTTAAACATGTATAATAAGACTATACCACGTGACCTTTACTGTCGTTATGAAGACTGAGTGAATGAGTTTAATTTTACGCGGCTATTAGCAATATCCCAGCAATATCACGGCGGGGGACACCAGAAATGGGCTTCACACATTGTACCCATGTCGTTATCAACATCTTCGCCAGAGAATATCACCTATTTACTTCTGACATTTCCACATTGTGCTGTGGTGTAGCCTCGTGGTTAAAGCTTTCGCTCATCACGCCAAAGACCCAAGTTTGATTCCTCATATGGTTACAGTGTGTGAAACCCATTTTGGTGTCGCCTGCTTTGATATTACATAAATATTGCTAAAAGCGGCGTAAAACCTCATTCACCCACTCGACATTGCGTAGGTCGGCAATCCAAGGATACCAAGGATTTCAGTATTTTGTTTCAATGAAACCTGTTGATTTTTCAGATGATGGCTATATCGACAACAGACCTCGCTCCATCAAGTCTGTCCGCATCGGTGGCTTCTCGCCAAGCGGCAACCAGAGGGCGCTCCCGTCAAACCGACCGTATTAGCCTCAGAATGAATTCGGGCTTCTTTAAAATGTATAATACTCCGTTTCAATTTTCGTTGTTATTGTTATCGTTATAGTTGTATTTTTGTTGAATTCATTACTTGCATACATGTTGGTCTTCGACGGGTATTTATAATCTGTGTCATATTGTTCTCAGGTTGAAGCCAATTGATAACAGTATTCTATCCTTAAACCTCTTCTACAGCGATGGTTCATGGTATTTTCTGTATAAATTATTAAGATAATGATCACCTACCTATTCATACATGAGATACAATAACTTCAATGACATATAAGATTTCAATGCGATATAAGATTTATTTTATAGAAAAATAGTTGTTACAATCTTCGTTTTGATGCAAAAGATCCGTTACTACTTCCAAAGCTATTTATAATGTGAGAAAGCTTTCGTTTTGTTGCCAGCGATGGTATGCCTAAGATTTTGATTGAATGAGTTTAATTTTACGCCGCACTCAGCAATATTCCAGCTATATGGCGGCGGCCTGTAAATAATCGAGTCTGGACCAGACAATCCAGTGATAAACAGCATGACTAAAATTTTGAAAAGAGGAAAAACCTGATCATTCACTCATACACTGTATAGCATATCAAGGTACAATGTACTGCTCAACGCTCCAAGAAATTTGTACATGTGCAAAAACTACCGTCACTTATGAAACCGGAGGCTACGACACGAACATAAGATACATGTATATGATTGTTTTCATTTCCTAAAACATATCAATTTATCATTAAGTTTTAGTGTCCATCGGTATGTTTTACAAATCGTTATATTATATGACAACAGCTGAACGATGCTAGCAAAACCACTAATATTCATACATAGATATAGTGTAGGCAACAAGGTAAAGCTATAATTCTTGGAGTAATTACAATTAGTATTCATATCAGAAAGTTAGCGTCAAAGCCAGAGAATAACCAACATGGCTGTACAACGGAACAGATTCTACAGGTGTGAGTGGAAAATATATCGGTGAAAGTTATATAGATGGATCAGGACAATCTGTGACACCATTACCCACCTGCATTATCCACACTATTTTCATGAAGATGTAAGTGTTTGTTTGTGTCCGCAAGCCGCACAGTAGTGCTCACGGAAACAATGTTGCTACCTCACACTAGTATATCAATCAATACCAATAATATAGTCCGCTAATTTGATTTTATATCTTATTTCACAGGGGATTAAATATTTTTAGTGGCATTTAAGAAGCTATTATGTTAACGGAGACACAGTCGCCTTGCAGATAGGCTCCTTAGTATTTCAATGTGAAGATCGAATTTGCAATCGATACGTCAACACAATATTATTTTCTGGTGGCATTAGTTCCTATGTACAAAAGAAAACACTACACCGATTAGTTTATACTTTATGTACACGGCATATTAATCTAAAGATATTCTCGTCTCTATATGGCTGAAATATTGCCGATGTGACGTTAAATATTAACTCACTCACTCACTCACTCTAAAGATATTCATATGTTTTGAAATGAATTTTATACTAGGCAGAGTTACCATCGCGGCATTGTAGTGAAATGTTGACTTATTACAACAGGATGGCATTGCTACTAATTTTGAAACGCCTAACACAGAAGTACCTCACTCACAGCATGACATTTTAACATCTTATCTGTAAATCTGCATATTGGCCGCTATGAAGATAAATGAATCATGGATTTGAGTTTTTGTTTGTTACTGTTTCATTAACCAAGGCAATTAGTAATGCTCCTGGATTACGGTTTATCGAATAGTCTGAGTCCAACAGAATTACCCATACACGTACGTACAAAAGTAAGTTCACACCTTGTGTTTTGGGATTATTTTGACAAACGCAACGTAAATATTTAGAAAAATATTTTGATTGTGACTTTCCACAGTAGCACCTACAAATCAACACGGATTTTGTGGAATTGGACAAGTGTACTTTCTTTTGCACGTTTATTGTATTCTTCAAAACTCCATGTCCAAAACTACGTATATTGTTCAACAATGTTTTTCAAAGCATTGATAGACGCTGATAATACATTTTGTCATGTGTATTCACCAGAAAAACAACAACTTTAAGTAGCTAACATCTAATGTAAACCTGTTTAGCATGAATTTTACCCCACAAATATTACATCAAGGGAGCGGATTTGATGATTCGTGAATTGAATAAAGTTCTCTATGAGGAATTTCATGCTGGAAGCTGCAAGAGACTCGTATCAAAAGGACATGAAGTCAGCTTAGGACAATCACAAACGTACCTTTTTATCTCGCACTGGTATGGATCCAAAACAAGCATTTCAATATTACCGATCCAATAGGGAAGGTATGGGTTTCAAGGAGGTCTACATGGCCGTTGTGGAAGTTTTATTGCACCTTCATGGCGTCATAGTTTTCCTTATGCACAAGCGGCGACAACAGCTAACATACTATGACGGTTAAAATAAACTGTTTACAAAACCGGACGGAGAGTGTTTTGGTGTACTATGTCAGTCAATAACTTCGTCTAAATGGACAGCAGTCAAGGAGGATCAGCGTAAGCACTGTGCGTAAAACAGTGAAGCTGGCTACCTTTGTGGCGGTCAACTGTACTCCTTCTATCACACGTATGTATTGATGTATTGTGTGTAGGAATACAGGTCTATAGCGTGCTAGGATGTTACAATTCAATTCAATTCAATATTGTATTCTGACAAACCAACATTGGTGGTATAGGAACAGTACAAATAAAGTCATAACATAAATGATACATTGTTATGATCACTTGGTAACAGTGACTATATTAGTGTGTTTATCTTTCCATAGTGTTATTCTTAATAAGTGGATCATCATCTAACGTTAACAGTAGTTTACATTTTGCGAGATTCGTCCATTTACTGTAATAAGTCGGGATAAATTGGGATCTTATGTTGTCAAAATAACCGAACATCTAAATAGAGGAATTCGCCGGCTATCGCCGGTGAATTACAAAGATGGCAATTTCTGTTTATCCTTGGTATATTTTTCCAGCGGCCAGTCTCTATTGGTAAATGATGGTTCAATGTCCGAAATGTTGTCTAGTTTGAAGAGTTGAAGGAAACGCGGTGATAACCTATACGCGGAACATGCGGTTTCTAAATTATAGTCCACTCGCCAGAGTAACCGCCCTTTATCAAAGGGAAGGTACCCCAGTCTTTATCCAGGATATTACGTCCCTTTGATGTCATAACGTTACTAAGCGTACAGTGAGATGGTCTACCGGCACAGATGAGGAAACTCACCGATTTCCAGTGTCTTAGTGGATTATTTTGATGATGATAACAATTATCCCAGTAGTTTATCGATGTTCAATTCTGCCTCGATCGCCGACTGGCGAGGTCGACGCCATGCTTGTAACCACTGAAAGAAATGACTTGTCCCTACTTGACCTTTCATATTTGCATCTTTATCCGCATATGACCCCAGCGGATGTTCATTGGCTTTATCCAGACGAGAAATGTATCCAGTATATGCTAATCAATATACTTGAAAATAGCAATGCAAGACGCTGGGACAACCCCATATGTTTGTATGTGTGCCTTATATATATCAAAGAACGGTTTTCGTGGATTGTCATTGCCGAGATTTCTAAATGATACATACAAAATGCTCACGGACACAAACTAAACACACTATACAGTGAAAGTGAAACACACCCCATTATATTCTTTAATGTATTCAACTACATTTTGTCGAACCGTGTTGAAAAAAAAACCCGACATTTGCTGAGCACAGCGCAGTGATAATGAACACCGACAATAAAACTCATTATTAATAGTTTAAATACGCCAGTAACTACATGCGTCAATAAGGTATTCACAACACAATACATATCGCTAAAAAAACCAATATCACGTTTCGTGTATATATGTTTGGAGCTATTGATACATGGCGCGGCAATCCTTCAGTTAGCGTTTCAAAGTTCAAGAAATCACATTTGTCCATAGTATAAAGGCAATAACATAGATTTTTTTTTAAAGCAGGGTTGTGTGGTGTGTCAAGATAAACATTCACGTCTCACAGTCAGGCAGTCGACAGTCTGCGGTCAAAATGGCTGCAGTGCTGGCATTAAACAGTCGAAGACAGCTGCTCCTTCTGGTGTCCCTGTTATACATCACAAGTCTCTATAATGTGGTAAGTATCATTCCCTTGTTTGATTAATTGTTAAATACTTTTTTTTAGTGGCTTTTATTCCTCTTCTGTTAACTTCTTGGCAATATTCAAAAGAAACATACGCCTGAGAATAAGAAGGAAAGGTCAGAAAGTTGCTAACTGAAGTTGTATTGTTTTGGTTGTACATACTTTCGGTTAAGCTTTACAATCTATGCTAGTCTGGTCAACTACGAAATAGTCTTGCGATTCAGCTACGTATTAAGTGTATAGAGGGTGAATCTGTGCTAGTTCTAATGTTTGAAAGGGAGTGTTTGTATGGATGTGAATGTTGATGTTGACTTGAACACTAACAACAAACGACTGAATGTGTATATATTTTTGTGTGTAACGTTTGCTAACGGTAGATCGGGGTACCCTTACACCTCGTGTCATCAATGATCCATTCACTTGTTTTACTGCGATTTAACCTGTTATAATCTGTTTAGACAGACAATTGTTATTGGTTATTCACCGACAGTGACGTTTTAGATTCAGATTTAGATTTTGAGTGATTAGTGTTGCAATTATTGGAAGGACGGTGGGTATCGGTATAAGCGTAGTCACAATGGAGTGAGTATGAGGGCAGGCAGATTGTGCAAATGAGTAGAAGTCTTTTTTGAGCGTGGAAACTGGAGACTGAGAGTAAGCGATGACAGAGGAGATACATCCTGAAATCACTTACCTTCTGTGTAGGCATTGCAGTTGGAGACTGAGTATGGGTGTAGGCATGGTGGTTAGAGAGTAATAAAACAGCCTGTCCAAACAAAACCCTTTTCTCTGATTGACAATATACATACATTATGTAATTCCCATACGCTAGTGCTGGGTAAAAAGATCGATAATCGGAAATATCGTAGATACAAAAAATTATCGATATTATCGGACATAAACGTTTGTGATATCCATTTCAAGCAAATATTTTAAATGTGTTTACTATATAATGATTAAACAATCTATGCACAAAGAACAGTATCTGTCTGTGGTAAACGTAAGACAATTCAGAATAAGCCTTGCGCAATTCCGCTGTTCATCTCATGATTTGTTGATAGAATCTGGTAGCTACTAGTATTTGGGCTTACCAATCCTAGTAAAGTACATTTAGAAAGATTATCTGTGTATATCTATCACGCTACCACATACAGAAAAATACATTCTTAAGAATTCTATTAACTGTCAATTGTTATTCACTGTACAGGCATGCGGCCTCCGGAGTACGGAAATAAATATTGATATTGATAGAATACAGTTTTAATTTACTCACACAATACACAAAGTTTGCTTTTTAATCGTACGCTGCTTCTAAAGTATTTTCAGGACGCTGTTTCGTTGGTAACCCATGCATTAACATGTCACCGCTCACCAGTGGTGTGAAATATATTCATTTCTTTCAGACATAATTTTAATGTTTTTGCTCAAAGTTAGTTCTCCGATATTCATCGATAATCAATCGATAGTTAGTTAACCAGTATCGATCTTTATGTTCTATATCGATAGCCAGCCCTACCATAAGCCTTTGTGATTGCTAGGACATACCTACTGTGGTTATCATAGATACGAAGGAAAGCTGAAACCCGGTAATCAACCGTGACCGGACACTATTCCTGCCTTGCGCTTGGGTGAGGTGAGGTGGAATTGGGTTTTACGTCGTGCTCGAGAATATTTCGCTCATATGACGACGTGCATGCGCGTGTATGTGTATGTGCGGCTGCTTGTACTAGCCCAGACTTAAGCTGGTTTTATAGTGCTAGCCCACTGAGATACCTTGCCGCAGTGAAGCATGAATACCCCACTTAGACACATTATACTGACTCCGAGCCGACCAGTCCTTGTTGTACCCATTAATGCCGAGCGCCAGGCGGGGACCAACAAGTACCATATTTTAACGTTTTTTTGGTATGACGCGGTCGGGGATCGAACCAGCGGCCTTCCGCTCTCCGGGCGGACGCTCTAACCACTACACCAGGGAGGCGGTCTTGCGCTTGGGACTTAAATTAAATTAATTGTCTGTGCTGGATTCCTTCAGTTCTAATCACCTTTCTCACCTTTTAGATTAATTCAATGTTGACAGTGAATTATGCCAATGTTTCAGACTGCAATGCTTATGCCCCTCATTCAGCCCTTCCAAGTAGTCAACATTCACGAAGACAACGTCGCACAGACGACGCTGGCCCTCATCAACTGTACAGACACCGGAGCTATTAACAACGAGTGTGGAACGTGCAATTTAGTGGGAATCACTAACGATGGCACCGTATTCCTGAACGGTCTCACCAATACTAACATTCTTCTAAGAGGAGGACCATTCGATGTGTTCAGGATAAACAATAATTTTCTGACCAATAACAACCGTAAGTTCTTATTTGTGGCAGGTTTGGTTCATAAGGGACCTAAGTTGTGCCAGAGTCTACCCCTTTCCTTATCGCCTACAAAGTTGATGCTTACATTTACGGAGTAGACTAAAATATAATATTCGGAAAAAAAATAAGTCAGACTCTCATCTAAATCGAAGTAAAACATGGTCTTCGTAGTTATGAGTATTATTTACGTAGATGTAAGCATCAAAGTCTACGTAGATGAAAATATCTTCTACGTAGGTGACAAACATTTGGGACAGTGACACAATGACGCGTCCATAGGTTCATCTACGTTGATTATTCCTCCAACTTTTTTTATATTACACGAGCTCTTATACAGAACCAACTTTATTACCCGAGTGAAATGATTTTCCAGCTTTACGACATTTATATAGGGCTTATTTGTAACTATTTCCCGAGGGGCATAAACTTCATGTCGCATTGTATGTGGATGCAAGACACGAAAATGCTTTACTCGCACCAAACGTTTATTCTCTTATACGTTCAATTTCACTTTCACTTCTTTCTTTGGCTTGATGAGGTTCAGAAAACTACAAAGCAGAAATAAAATCTTACTAAGTAATTTATTCTTAACAGCAAAATATGAAAATTCTAAATAAATTACTTCAAAATTAACAGTTACAAAATAAATGAATAAAATGTACAATTAACAAAACCTTCAAATAATATTACCTCATTATGCATTGAAATATATTACAATAGCAAACAATGCTACTCACATTTGTGTTCATGCCAACTACAACAGCTGATGTCTCCAACATGGAGGCAGTGACAAGCCATGTGCTCTGATGAGGAGCAACACTAACAATAAGGGGAAGTAATCTGGTATGATAATCATGATAATACTTATTGGAAAACTAATAACAGTTATAGCCTAGCTAGACTTTCTGAACTTCATCTGAACTAAACTTTACAATGAAACTTACTACACTATTTAAGCACTTTGTTCTTTGCAACATAAAAATATAACCTTTTGACAACAAATATCTTTAGTGCATGAAATTATAAACTAATTGAAGTGAACATTTTTCTGCATCAACATTGTATGTGTAATATTCTGTGTCAACACAGTCACATTTGATGAAAAAGGTGAACAGTTTATCAGATGTTCGAATGGATTCCAATGGTTCGTGTATTTTGTCTTGCTTACCCCGGAAGAAATCACGATCAAAATGTCTATCTCTTCCCCGCCATCGTCTTCGTTGCACGGTACAAAAGAAAACGATGATGTCCAAACGCTGGCGTTGATATTCAGTGTCACTTGGGATCGGTTTATTGAAGATTTTGGTTCTTCTAATTTGAAGTCCCCCTGTGTGGCCTCATCCCGAACAGTGTGAAGAGGTTTAAGTTCACTTAGATATTCAGTTCCATATGCATAATTAGAGCAAAATGGTTCTACTGAAAACATGCATCATTCAGTTGGTACTACTGACAACTACATACATGTGCAGGTAACTAGGAAATATTATCTCCATGATTTACAACAATGATTCAAAGAAGTTGAATTGAACATGTTACTTCTGTGACAGAATTCTACGTCGTGTACGTCCCGAACCAAGGACAAAACCTGGACTACAGCGTCATCAGGACGTACAGAATCGAGGTCCAGTGTGTCGGGATTGACACTATTACTACGAGCCCGTCTCAGATACTGGAAGTTGACATTATTCCCAACCAGGCTCCAGTCGTGGCTGGCCTTCCCGGAGGTAGCGTCTGTCTTACATTCCCTATTTCATCTTGTCTCTTGAAAGTGCTGTCAGTTTATCCCTGACTAAACATATCGATGTATATTGCAAATTAATTAATTATAATACTACCCTCTTTAACTCGCCTATATGGACCAAGTGTAATTCATTTCATCACCAAGCCTTGTCGTAGCCGGTAACCTGAATATATCATGCATTCGCTTTTCTTCATTCTAACATTCAACGCCTTCCCCGTTAGTGAGTGAGTGATTGAGTTTGGTTTTACTCCGCTTTTAGCAATATTCCAGCAATATGACGGTGGGGACACCAGAAATGAACTTAACACATTGTACCCATGTGGGGAATCGAACCCGGGTCTTCGGCGTGACGAGCGAAGGCTTTAACCACTTGGCTACCCCACCGCCCCCCTTCCCCGTTTAAACACTGGGGCAACACGACAGTTATCTGGCAGAATCTCTGCTTAGTTGTTAAATTTACACTCGTGTTACGTGTGTATGTTCAATCTCAAGCATCTCTCTGTGTATGTGAACTAGTTCTGTAACTTGAAATATTCTTCAGCAAGCCGAGTATAAATGACAGTGTATGATCCAAAGTGTAATATGTCATCGGCGAAATCTGAGATCATGCTCCATAACGTTTGCCAAGCTTGAGCTGATACTGAAAAACGGTTATTGTAGAATTTGAACGTATTGTAATTGGATTGTGCCTCATAACAGCCACAGAACGAGAATGAGTTCCAATGCTGATGCCTTCCTGTGATGACATTAACATACATATGAAGGTATCTTTCTCATATTTTATGAAGACTCTTTTGACCATAACCACGCCTTCATTTATCCAAGTACATATGTGAATGAATGAATAAATGAATGAATGAATCGATGGATGGATGGATGGATGGATGGATGGATGATGGATGGATGAACCTTACTTCAGGAAAGTACTTAGCAGTAACTCCTCAATTTTCAGTGACGGTGACCTTGGATGCTCGGACTGGGACAGTGGGTAGTTTGGTGTACGATGTTCAAGTGACCGACAACGAAACCGATCCCATTACATATGTGATGACCGTCGACCCATCCACAGTCGACTACTTCCAGATCAGCCAACGTAAGTATATCAAATAAACGGGAATATGTATCTTCTCATTTTTTTATATCCATTTTCGTTAGAGCAATGCGAGGAATAGTCACACCGCGATGAACATTATTACTTAACCTTTTGGTTTAGCGACTATAAACACATTAATACAAATAAAGATTCATAATAGTTTTGCAAAATTAATGAAAACCAAACAAAACCTTGATAACAGTAAATGGGATCTAAATTATTCAAGGAAACGAGTATGGAAATGTTTAAATGTGTCCCTGGCAATAATGTTACATCTGACAGCGGAAGGGCTAGTCGTTAAGTCAGAAAGTAACCAGCACTATTATCAATTGAAAATTCGAAACTTTTATTTCTTTTTGAGAATTATATTACTGCGGGTTAATGTAAATGGATCCCTCAATTTCTGTCGGCAGAAGATGGAGTCATTACCGCAGCCAAACACTTGCTAACGGCAACCGTGACCCCTGTGACACTCAGGGTCAACGTCAGCGACGGCAAACACACTGTAGGCCCCCTTACCATCACTGTCAACATTCAAAGTAAGTAAAGGATCAGGGGCAATAAGATTGTTCAAACCCTATCTTCATTCAAGTAGGGTTCTACAACAAACCTGTGGTAGCGTGGACATATATATAGGTCATCTTTCCCCAGAGGATGGAAAATGACTTCAATAGACTTCAAGACTTAGTCGTCAACGTTAATTTTGCTACCCACGCAGAGAGACGTCACGTCAGGGAAGACATACCAATATTTGCCGGTTCGTGAACAAGAATTGTCCTACGTTACACAGGGCTCTATGCAGTAGAGGATAAACATACGCAATAACTGTGGTCAATGACTTAAAATCTAACATAGCATCGGCAATATTACAGCCATTTAGCGTTGATAACATGCTAATCATTTTAACCCTTCTGTTGACAAAGGACAGAAAATAGCATATCAAGTATATCAGTATAAAATATATAAAAACAGACTATAGACTAACGACAACAAACGCTAGACAACCTTATCAAAAGGGACTTAGTGTACCTATACATCACGCGCGGTAGTCTTGATGCAGTTCGCAGGAACTCGCAGGCTATCTAACCTAAGAAATGCTGAAAAGCGCTACGTCTTAATGAGCTTGTTATCAATTGTTATGCACTCGTGCAATGTATTGATAACAGCTTTTAATGATTTTGCATTGCCACCAGACTTAAACACTCGCCCGAGTGTACAGAACCTCCCCCTCAACGTCACACTCAACGAAGACGCACCGGCCGGGACATTGATTGCCACACTGACATTATCGGACCCCGACATTTTCCAGACACTAAGTCCTGTCTTCACAGTGGATCCTGTGGCGGAAGCCTCCAAGTTTGTCTATCAGGCCGGAAGTGAGTATTCTGTCCAAAATAAATATGTATAACCGCACATTATTGGTACATCGTCCGGCCCAGCAGGTTGGTTGGTAGGTTTGTTGTTTTTACGCCGCACTCGGCAATATTCCAGTTATAGCGGCAGCCTGTAAATAATCGAGTCTGGACCCGACAATCCAGTGATCAACAGCATGGGATACTCAATTGGGATACGATGACATGTGTCAACTAAGTCAGTGAACTGACCACCCGATCCCGTTAGTCGCCTCTTCCGACAAGCATGGATTGCTGAAGATCAATTCTCACCCGGGCCTTCACGGGTTGGATACAGCAGGGCAGTTCTTAACAATAGCAGAATCATATGGAACTTATTGTTCATACATGACCGAGATCTTGATCCTGCATGGATTGGAAGTGACTAGGATCCGCTCACCATGTACGATCTGTGCCATATTTCCTCTGGAATTAAACTGACATATCACGACATACATGAAAGCAACCGTTTTCAAAATCATAAGATGTGTCTGCCTCCGTACGATTCCGACTGAATGATGGCCTGTAATCTGTGTCAAGTAAGGATGGTATCTGAAATACTGTTCGTGAAAGCGGTAATTATGAATCACTGAATCTATGTCGTCTTGGCTTTGGGCCTGTTGTTGTCCAGAACGAGTTCGTTTATTAACATGGAAACTGTCCGTTTCCTTACGGTGAATGGCGTAAATTGATTGTGGCATGCAGAACCACTATTCCAGTCGCTACTATTCGTGTAACCTCTTCCAACATACACACCATGCAATATCTGGTGCAATTGTACGTGTCACCATCTCGTGCAATGGAGCAAAATAGTTTTAAAGGAAAATATTGGTATGTGTTGGGCTCTCCTCTGATCTCTACTGAATCCTCCTGCAACCCATGTCCGCCTTTGGTATTGAGGCATCTGTATAGATTATGATATTCGTAACAAGAGATGGGTCCAAATGGTCCCGAGACCATATCCAAGAATTCACGAACAATGTGGGAGATATTTTGCTGAATCGAGATAGCACCTGGATATTGTTCTGCTTTCAATATGACCAAAAGGAATATGCACAGGAAGACGAGTGGTTTCTTGCTGGAAAAGGAATGTCTATAGTGTCGAATGGTTTCTCCTAAATATACTGAGGGGAAAAAATAAGGGATCACATGAAGGCACAAACGTTCCTTTATTTTTTTTCAGGTTTCTTCACAAGCTGTGCGATACAAGGCTTGTGAAGAAACCTTGGAAAAATATTTTCCCCTTAATTTTGTCCCTCAGGATATAAGCAAAAACAAAGTGGAGGGTACGACTTCGACTTGATGATAAGCATGTGCTTATGAATAGCAATCAAACAGTGATGATGCCACATGTTCGTGAAAAGGTGAACGTATCCAACCAGCCATACTCGCATGCAAAGGCCAGTCAGGTGTTCACCTGAATAAATCTCGGTAACACATGGTGCAATTCAAGATAGCACATTGCATCGGACATCATTTTTTGTCACTGTTGCGTCAAATTTTGAAATAGGCTTCGAATGTTGCAAATTGCAACCTTGATCGAACGACCTCTGAGCAAGAGCCGCATAGCGCTCATCAAAATCCTGGTAGAAAGGGTGTACTCGATTGTACTAAAAAGATGTACGCATCAAAGGCTGGCTTTGATGTGATATTGCTCGACATTAAGGGAAAGTTGACAACTGTTGGCATCCCTCTTATCGAGAGACTCATGGAAAGGCTTTTTGTCTCTCTGAATATTCATGCATTGATCTAAATATGAAGTGCTCTCACTGGTCTTGTAAAGTTCGGGACAGTTAGTAGACAAGTGCGAGCTACTGTTATGATAATAAAGTGCCCCTCTACATCAGGAAACCCTGATATTATACTCCAGGAATACGCACAAGGCAATTTTTAAATACCCTGCAGACAATAAAATGCTATCATCTATAATCTATACTACATTCACTGTGTGTATGGAAAAATGCTGCTTAAAGTCCTACCATTAGTTGAAGAATATATAACAAAATGGTTCCTAGAAAATGTGAATGTGAAAATAGAAATGATATACCTTCTGAAATAATTGTCTTTATGGTTCCAGCCAGACAAGTCCGGTTAAATGCAGTTACAACTGGTGCAACTCTCCTGGACGCTGAGTCTGTCAGTACCCTTAACCTCTCGTTCGCCCTCTTCGACGGCTTCCTCCCCTCCGTCAACGCTTACATCTTCCTCACTGTTGCCAATGTGAACGAACCGCCGTTCTTCAGCCGACCTATTCATTACTGCACGTTGTTGGAAGGCAATGTAAGTACATGTCAGTACATTCACTAAATTGATTATGCTGAACAAACCCCCTAAAAATACGAACATACGTAACGATATTTGAGTGAACCATGATCTCTGGACCTCAAGAGATCAACGCTGTCCAAAACTTGGAAGTTGACGTGACATACAAATTGGCACAATTCTGCAGCTAAGACAGCCATGTTTTCTAATCCTTTTCTAAACTAAGTATGTATTTTCAACCAGAATTGCTTTGAAGTCCGTTAACTGTTAAATGATCTCCACAACAGTTTATCATATTATAATGAGAGGTGGTTGGTCATTACAGCAATTCGGCTCTACGTGTGCTCTCAGTCTGACAATTAGAGATCCGGAAGGGGACATCATTCTGTCCCCATCACTCAATGCCGCAAACAACAGCAATCTCTTTTTCCTGGAGAACGACAACCTGAGAATCAGTAACAACTACGTCGTCGACCGTGCCACCTTCCCATCAGCGGCAACGTTGACAATAGAGGTAGCGGACGACAAAGGGGCAACAGGGTCTTCACTTATCCAGGTGACGGTGTTAGACCAGAACACCCAGACACCAGACTTTGGGGGCAGTGCCACGTCTGTCGTAATTACTCAGAACGTGCTGACGCCGCCTACAACACTGGCAACGATCACCGCTACCGACGCCGACCTAACCTCTCCCAACAATGACGTCACCTTACGCCTCCAAAGTAGCATCAATCTAGGAAGCAACGTTATATTCAGTAATGACGGTCGGGTAACATATCTGAACCGTTTCACTGCAAACAAAGACTGCTCTGATTGTAGACTGGAAATTATAGCGTTTGATGGAGGAAGTCCAGCCCGTACCGCAACAACAACATACTACGTGAGCTTCGTCACCACAACTACTACTACTACTACAACGACCACCACTACAACGACCACGACAACCACAACCACAACGACAATAGCTCCTGCAGTTTCTTCATCTGACGTATTTTCGACTACAGCTGGAGAGGCACTGCTGGGTGTCCTGATCGCGCTGCTGGTTCTTCTGCTGCTGTTGTTAATTGGCTACTTCCTGTATAGGTACTGTAGATACGGTACATGCTGCGGCCCAACCGGACCCAATGGATCCGGTGCGATATGTGGAGCTGGAGGACCGAACGGTCCGGGAGGAGGAGGAGGAGGAGGAGGAGGGGGGATGTGTGGAAACTGTTGTGGCGGACCGCCGTGAGTTCAAACTGTTGTTTTGTACCACATATATGCAAGAGATATATGATATATGTAAAATATATATATCAGTTCTTAAAATTATTTCTCACAAGACGTTAACGATGACCCATCTACCATAATGATAATCGTGACAGAGACAATCACATATCTTTTAAATTCTTTATGTGGTTATATTTATCATAACTTAAATGTATCATAACACGAATAGGATAGAAGATAACGAAGATAATGTCAACTGAAAACAAAAAAATCCAAAACAATCACAGTTATAATTGATTGATTTTGTAAAGAATTCGATAAAGATCAACCTTGTATATTTATCATCAGGGAACCAAATCAAGTGAAACCCAGACCTGAGGCCCCAGACTATGGCCAGTAAGTAAGCGTAACACAAACGTGAAGGAATGATTTCACCATCGCGACAGCATGTTGAGTACTATTGTTAAGGCAATAGAGGCGTTGATACCAGCTTCATTCCACGATTTTGAATAACCAAGCGTACAGAATTAGGAATATATAACATCAGTGTAAATATACCAAGCTATCAAAGATGTATGAATCCAGCACTAAAATGCATTGATGACATTGGTTTTCGCGAAAAGGAGGTCCTGCCCTTCTGGTAGCATCTGCCCTTCACACAATTTGCCTTAGATAATATCCTGACGCCACACGGCAGTACACTTGTCAGGGGAGCTAAAAACACGAGACAATCAAGTGATCAATGAAGCAGAAACTCCTCACGACTACTGTGTAGAGGTGCCGAGGTTCCAAATCTTATAAATAAGGCTCTGTACTGTTCGATCGAATCTAGAATAAATGCTATCTTTACTTGACTGAAATTGAGAGAAATGAATACGATCATTAACCGAAGTAATTTGGTGTTTGGTGTAATTCTGGAAATATTTTGCAAATGAAGAACCTTGTTAAATATTGTATACTGTTATTTTTATTCCTGTTTAATTTTCTATGTGATGATAACGTTGGCACCTGCATCCTCTTGCATAGTGTCGAAATAAAGTGTACCTCCATTAACTACAGATGTACCATGCTCTGTTCATTAGGATAAGGACTCCACCAGAAGGTGTCCGAAATAACGTGTACCAAGCATCTGGCGATTACAAGGATGACTTCTGGCATACAAGTGAGCGAATGCTGGCGTATGGTTACGTCAATTCTTCATTTTCTTTCATTTTTACGTTTTTGGATAATACAATAATACTTCTCAGAGACAAACCTCTCATTTCGTCACTATCAGTCAGCTCCCAGGCGCCCGCTACTAGTACTATTGGATTACAACCAACTATAGTTGTTAGGGAAGCTAACATCCAGCCCCTGTTCACAACCAACCAACGACCTTCTGATGGTAATAATTATAATTATAATATATGTACTGTGGCCCGGCCATTTCCAGTTTAAGGCCTTAACGCCCCGTAACACACATACCCTGTTTAGTGTTTTCTGGGTTATTTGATATATTTTGTTTGATGATTCAGATGACGGCTACATCGACAACCGACCACGGTCTATGAAGTCCGTACGTATCGGAGGATTCTCTCCATCCGGAAACCAGAGGTCGCTCCCGTCTAATCGACCATATTAATTATGTATACGTTGCACAACGGGGTTTTGAAATCTAAACTGTTCTGTTTGTAGAAATTCGTATTTCCTCTTATTTATGCTGTTTTGATGTTCCGCGTCTGTGATGGTACTTTATACCTGTATGACAAAGCCTTTCTGAATGAGGAATTTTAATTCCTGTGCCTGCTCGACAATTCACGCGTCATCAATGCGTACAATCACTGTGGAGCTTACAACTTTTACCCAAATGAGCCTGGCTGGTGTAATGTTCATTCTTACGAATGTAGACTATATTGAAAACACGTCAGAAAGGTATTGTGAATTTTGTGTTAGTCAACCGGACCTTCTCTTCAATAAAGTGTTGAATTAGGGTCCATTGTCTTGAAAATGGGCATGCCTGTCATGTATTATTGTAGAAGTTATTGGACATGTGTTTCTTTCACATAATGTGTTTGAGACAAGTGGAATCAATATCACTTGGATTCTCAAAAACTCACTTCCAGCTTTATACACCTCTAACACTCATGACCAAGGTCATACCATACTTCATCTGTGGGGCCGTTTGTTACGATGTTGCCAACCATTATTGGCATGAGTTAAATCATGTGTTTCTAGAGAACATTTAACCATGAGCATCATCAAAATGCGTGTACCAAGATGATTAGGAAGAGTTACCTTCCCGCATATGACATATACGTAAACATGGTCTAAAAATGAATGTAACTTTTATCTTAATCTATAACTATTATGGTGATTAAAAGGACGTTTTGCCTAAACTATATTGTAAATATAAAAGTGAGATGAAGCTTTCAAGGGCTATAATCTTGACTTTGTGAAAAATACTCTAAGGCAAACAATTTAAATGCAGGGTAACCATGATGGCTAGAATTTGTGTGTATAAATGTTTGGAAACATCATGAAAATGGCCAGTGGTTCTCATAGAAAACAGAACGTGTTAATAGTCACATTACTCTCTCGCTACTTAAATAAAAGTAATACTGATATGATTCTTCTTATATTTAGAAATAACACATAAGAAACCTATGTCATCCTGAATATAGAACATAATATGTGCAGTTACAAACAATGTGAAATCTTGCGGTGCCATCCCAGTATAACCTTCCCCGTTAACGAATCATTATTATGGATACAATGTCTCCGTTGTCTTTGGATAAAGCTTCTGATCGGTGAGCGTACTTATAAGGACGGGGTTCTATTCTCGGCAGCGTCATATCAAAAGATGTTAAAGTATGGAGCTTATTACAATGTTTAGAACTAGGCTTAAAGAAGATAAGACAAGGACTGGTCGGCTTGGAGTCAAATATAGTGTCTGGGTAGATGCATTCTTAACGACATACCCCTACAAACCCACCTGTTTGTCTTTACATCCTTCCAGGTGGGACTTACAGGACCTAACCATCCATGTTAAACTAGTATTTCAGTGGTATTGAGGGCAAAACGCAAGGACTCATCCGATGCGTCTGAGTGGGATATCTATGATAAACAGACATCTACGTGGTCAAGGAGAACCACGCACACACACGAGAACAAACGATTCATGTAAAATTAACGAAATGCACTCCTAATGCAGCAGAATTTATTCCCAGTGTATGTAACGATTACATCATTTATGTCACAAACTATAGACGTAATATTCACATTTTAACTACGGTCAGTAAGTAACACTTGCTAGACGAATATTCGTTGTCTTCCCGGATAAATGTTAGGTTCATGAACTTGCACAAATCTTTGTAACGAAGAGTCACTAAAATCTGCAATAACTGTAAATTGATGATGTCCATAGGTTTGCAATGGCGAGTAGAAAACGCGTGACCTTTGGATTTGGAAACAGGTCTTCCTCTGGGATGTCCAGGTAGATCTCACAGAAATTAACTGCAAGTGATGATGTTGGTAGGTTTGCAATTGCGAGTAGAAAACGTGTAGCCTTTAGAATTGGGACACTTGTCTGCCTCTGGGACTTCAAGTAGCTTTCATTACTTATGTGGCAGGCGGTGAGCATTTTCATCATCTTGTAACCCATCTCAATGGAGACACACAAGAAGTCTGTTTGAGCTATGCACAGATCCCGGCACTCATGCTCTCGAAGGTTCAATTTTATTACGTTGTTGTGTCCGTTGTTCGACAGACGCTTGTACACAGAGAAGTGCGTACCATATTCTCGACATCCTGTATCGGGAAACAAAGATTGAGATGTGGTTTACAGTATTCATAATTTCCTGTAATTATGTGACAAGGGGGCCCGAACTTATTCACTTATTAGTCTTTGGTGAAACTGAAGCGCAGATACATTGTCACAGGCCACAGCCGATACAATGAAGGCGAAAATAGAATTTCAACCAACTACCATTAAATAATAACAATAACATAATAATGATATTTTGGTTCCAGAACAAGCAGGTTTCTGAAAAGGGTTCCAGACAATTGATAACATTTTCATATTTGATTATTGTTACTAGATATATATCTCTGTATAAGGGTAGACTCTACTTTGCCTATATTGATCTTAGGAGTGGTTTGTTGTATACGCTGTGGGTTAATGGCGTTAAAGGTAAAAAGTGTTTCGTTTAATCAGCAATATGTATTCAAAGGTTATATCTTGTGTCTCTCTTCGGATGTCTATTTGGTGTAAGACAGGGTTGTCAGATGTCACCGTTTTTGTTTTCTTTGTATATTAATGATATTATTGACTTCATAGGAGATGATGGACAGTGTATTGAGTATTATATGTTTTCATGTTGCTGTTTGCAGACGATATGATGGTAGCAGATGGTAGCATTATTGGCCTACAGAGAAGATTGGATAAGTTAGCAGTTTATTGTAATACATAGCAGCTGGTGGTTAATGCAGTTAAAACCAGGGCAATGGTATTCCGTCGAGTTGGCAGAGTGAAGCATTATGAAAAGTTTTATTTTAAATCAAATTAGAAGTTCATCTTACAAATACTCGGGGGTTCATTTTTCCAGTTCAGGATCTTGGCAAGTCACGCAGGCAATGCTTTCAGAGCAGGCTTTAAAGGTAATCCGTTCATAAATCCTCTGTTTCAGCGCATGTTGTGCGAGGCGAATGTGGAAGGTATCCCTTTTGTATATTTATACCATCAAAAGGTCTATCAAATATTGGTGTAAAATATTAAAAATGTCAAATGAGCGATATGTAAAGAAATGTTATAACATGCTTGTACAAATGGAAAGTAATGGTTGCAAGAGCTGGGCATCTAGGATAAAGCATACATTAGAAGTCTATGGACTTGGATTTGTTTGGCAAGAACAGATGGTTCGAAGTGAAACGCTATTTTTGAATGGATTTCTAGGTAGACTCAAAGTTTCGTATCAACAGGACTGGCATTCTGCACTAATAAAAGGCACAAAAACATTTGGATCCTCGTTGTTTACTCATATGTTCGGTGTTGAATCTTATATCTTCATAGTTAGCTATTTTAAAATTAGACGTGCTCTTGCACAGTTTAGATCGGGGTCTCATAAACTACGAATGGAAACTGGCAGGTATATTGGTGAGGCTAGAAATGACAGATTATGTATTACCCACGTGGTCAACGTATGGGTAGCTGCATACTAATCTCGTACGTCACACGAGTATCGTATCGCGTTGACCTGTGTCGTAACGACTTGACCTGAGATTCTAACGATTTGATTGGATAACCGATGACCTCTCAATTAGGTCACATTCTGACGTAACTATTTTTCATTCATAACATACACGTGAATTCATTCATTCTACAACTTATATGCATTGTGGGAATGTAAACATTGCAAACGTTGCCGTGTCGCTGTTTAACTGTGAGTCGAACTGAGACATTATATCTGTCGAAAAACATAAACGCAATGCTTCCACCAGTGATGTTAGCCGAGTGAAGAAACTGCAAACCAAGAAATGGGGTGCTACGGAGTAGTTTAATGTAGGAGTCTGTACGAGGCGATGACAACAGTGTGACGTCATGCAAATAGTGTACTACAGTGCAATACTCTTCCGCAACCTCTTTAGGAAACCGGTTTCGGTTTGAAAACATACAAATAACAGAAAATACGCTATTTAGTCAATTTAATGCATGTAAGACGTGGGTGATAAATAAAATACCACACTCGGTCTCATTACATACGAATTATACGAAACTCGCGACCTTCCTATGGTATCTGACCTCCATACCATAGGAAGGACACTCGTTTCGTATAATTCGTATGTAATGAGACCTCGTGTAGTATTCTCTATATATCTGTAAATTGCCATATATAGAAGATGAATATCACTTCTTACTTATTTGTAATAAATATCAAGCATTGCGGCGACTGTACATCCCTTTACACTTTTATGAATATCCAACAATCCAAAACTTTAATACGCTTCTGCAAGCATCAAACGCAAGCATATTAAAACATTTATCAGCATATATAAATCAAGCTATGTTACTGAGACAGTCTTCATTATAACATATTTTCTTACTCTGTAATTCTCAAAGTGTAAACTGGGGCCTATGGCCTATATTACTTTTCTGAAATAAGCCACCAAAAGATCTAGTATCAACAATTTTATCAATTTGCCAATTAATGCATTGTTAAATATATACTGAGTAAAAAAAGAAACTTCACATTCTTTCTTCAGGGCACTATAAAAGAACAAGAGATGGTAAGATGGTTAAATTGTTATTATTTCATTGCTGAGATCTGTGTGATGTACTCGATACACTGACAGTGCCAGAATCAGTTCCATTAGGCTACACCGCCGTTCCAAAACATGGGTATACAGAATGTCAAGTCACAAGAATAAAAATGCGAAATTTCTCAGTTCAATATCGTGTATGGCCGCCCCGCGCATTCACCACTGCCAAACACCGTCTCCTCATCGACTGCCTGATGCTTGTGAACACTTGGTTAGGGATTCTGCGCCATTGCTCTTGCAAGGCAGCGCCAAGTTCCTGCAAATTCTGAGGTTGGTTCCTAAGACCACGAAGCCTTCTCCCAAGTGCATCCCAAACGTGCTCTATTGGATTACGGTCAGGGGACCTAGATGGCCAGTCCATGACGTTGATTCCAGCGTTTTGAAGGAAATTTCGTGTCAACATCGCGGTATGCGGCCGAGCATTATCATGCTGGAACTGTAGACCTGGGCCATAAGCCGCCATGAAAGGAACGATTTCAGGGGTGAGCACCTGGTCGCGGTAAGCAGCAGCTGTGAGGTT